TAAACCATCTGACCATCTGACCATCATGTGTGTGACTCTTCACCCAAAACACCACTGATAAACTATCACCAGAGAGGGAAATTCCAAATTGCCATTGAATCAAGCCAATGTGCTGTCATGGATAACCATAGTTATTTATGTTGAACTTAAATTGAATCAAGCCAATGTGCTGTCATGGATAACCATAGTTATTTATGTTGAACTTAAATTTTTCTGAAAAAAGTTCTCTATGTTTCCTTGTGATTGTGCTTCAGAGTGATTTGAATTCAAAAGTATTATGCATTTGGTTTGAGTTTTAATATATTTGTCGGAGGAGGAGAGAGAACAAAAATTGCCGAAAACACTGAACAATCCATAAATAGTTATTTCAAGTGTGCTATCAATGACATCTATTTTTATAGACAGTTTGATAACCATAAGGGTGTGAGCATCCTGAATTAAACCACAGAGCATGAGGCATGTTTAGGGCCTAACCACATGGGATTATTTATATTTCTCTTAGTTATCTTTTACAATTTTAGCAGTTAATTATTTGTTAACTCCACAAATGCTTTCTGATTTTGCCAGGGTTACAGGAGTGCTTCAGCTTCTGAGACGTAAGTCGGGAGTGTACTCTTTCTTCTTTTTGTTTCAAATAGATGTTAATGGAATGTAGTCAATGGTTTAAAGTTTCTATTTTAACTTTAATTCTTTTATGTAGAAAAAGAGGTCTATGACTATTAATATTTCTAACTTATCAAAGCAGACGGCTTTTTCTTTTATTAAAATAAAAATTTAGTTACCTTCATTCTTAGAATCCTAATATCTTGACATGCTGTAAGAATAGTGGCATGAGGTTGAATGTATTTTGATCAGAACTCTTTAGTTGGGCTTAATTGATTAGTGCTTTAGTGCACAATAAAATCTTAATCTCATGACTATGGTAAAATGTGTCATTGGCGTATATTTAATGATGTGCATTATTTCACTCCTCAGGCTTGCAGCTAACTGGCCACCAACAATGCAAATAGTGAGGCTCATATCTCAGGACCACATGAATAACAAGTAATTACAATTTAGTGAAAACATTCCCTCCTTTATTTTTCTGTGTAATATTTTCCTCCTGATGTTATATTCCTCAGTTTTCTTGACTTCATCAATATTTATAATTCAGGCAATATGTTGGAAAGGCAGACTTTTTAGTTTTTCGGGCAATGAATCAGCATGGGTTTCTTGGGCAATTGCAAGAGAAGAAACTTGTAAGCTGTCTACTCTCTTTATTTTACCTTACCACTTTTTCCCTCGAGACTCAAAAATTGTCCTCATTGCTAATTTGCTATCCAATTTCTTGCCGCTTCCACTTTATCCCTCAAAGGTCCTTACCCACTTGCCTAATCATTGTCTTCTGTTATATATATTAATGTAAGCATCTTGGATTACCACTTGATTATCTGTAAATTCTGATCTGGCAGAGTACTTCCTTAGATTCTGTGTGACATTCTCATATGAACTTAGTTAATTATCTGTTTAAACTCAAGAACATCTAAATGCTGTGTTAAACTAAATTTATGCATTTAATTGGCTCTCTTGGCTTGAAGTGGGGTAATTCTTGATTCTGGTATCATCCATGTGAGACTTCAGCATCAAAAGCTAGTTCTTCTATTTTATTTGACCACCTGCAATAGTTTTCCTTTGAATGTGAACATGAAACCGAGGACTATTCTGATAAGTTTGTTATCTTCTCAAAAAGCTGATTGCCCACTTTTTCAGTGTGCAGTGATCCAATTGCCCTCTCAGACACTACTGCTCTCTGTTTCAGACAAAGCATGCCGCTTGATTGGAATGCTGTTTCCAGGGGTGAGCTTGTTATTAGTTAGACCATTCTTATTACCGCGGATTGTAATTCCTTATTATTAGTTTTTTGCCAATATAAAGTAATAGCCACCAACTCTGAGCTAAATCCACAACAAATATGTGAGGTACCTTCATTACTAAAAGAAACCTGGAAAATGGAGCTTTTATTTTGTGAAAATTTTGTGGGGATCGTTTTCCAGTCTGTATAAGGTGCTTTTAGTTCTGAAGGTTCCCTGCATATCCTGCAACTTCTGTTTTAACTTCTTTCTGAAATGGAGGCCTGTGGTGGTACTCCAAATTGAGTTTGTGGCTCGGCATTGTAACCTTCTTACAACCTGGTTTTTGTTAAAGCTAAATCTACCATCGGTTCAGGATATGGTTGTGTTTAAGCCACAAGTAGGTGGTCAGCAACAGCAGCAGCAGCAGCAGCAGCAAATGCAACAGCTACAACAGCAACAAATTCAAGTAGGCGGTCAGCAACAACACATGCAAGTTCCTGGTCAGCAACAGCAGCAACAAATTCAAGTAGGCGGTCAGCAACAACACATGCAAGTTCCCGGTCAGCAACAGCAGCAACAAATGCAAGTACCGGGTCAGCAACAGCAGCAACAAATGCAAGTACCCGGTCAGCAACAACAGCATCCTCAGATTCAACAACAACATCCACAGATTCAACATCAGCACCCTCAGATTCAACAACAGCAGCAACTCTCGCAGCAGCAGCTCTCACAACTTCAATCACAACAGCAACTGCCGCAGCTTCAGCAATTGCAGCAACAGCATCAACAACAACAGTTGGTTGGGACGGGGATGACTCAAGCTTATGTTCAAGGCCGGTCGCAATTAGTTTCACAGGGACAGGTTTCGTCACAAGGGCCTAATATGCCTGGAGGGGGCTTTATGGGTTAAATAAGAGCTTCAACTTGTTAGATGAAAATTATGAAAATTATCAGTTTCATAATTTGTGATGCCCATCTTTAACCCCTAATGATCGGACTTTTATTTATCAGTTTCAGAGGCCTATCTTTTTAGATGAAAATTATGAAACTGTGGCTAGTTACTTGACTTGCGTTGGATAGAAATATGTGATGCTTTTGCATGTTCTTCGTGCCTATGTCGTACGGCGGACTATTAGTTACCCTACTGATGTTAAAGGGGATATGCCCGATAAGTGATCCCTGCATTTGGGTTCTTCTTCTAATGGATGCTTTACTGTTAAATATGCTTACGAATTAAGTGCTGGTTTTGTTCAAGATGAGGATTCTGCGTGGAGTTTCATCTAATCTTCGAGTACCCCTCGAGCGTTTAAGGTCTAGGGGTAGTCAATCTGTGGACTCATATTTCCCTATGCTACTACTATAACGAGTCTTTGCAACATCTGTTTTGAACTCCCCTCGTTCGTTTGCTCTCCGGAGGACGTTATGGGTTTAATGGGTGTCTAACTCGCAGTTTTTAATCGGTTTTACAAATTTCTACAAAAACCGTCATAAAACCTACAAGTGTCGTAATGCTACTTATATTATATTTTTGTACTACATTTTCATACCAACTTAGATAGCATTTGATGTGGATAGTTATATCATTTGAATTAATCATATTTTTAAATTTAGTTCATTATTTAATAAACTAATAATTAAGAAAAACTAGTTAATTAAATGATGATTGTGGTATACGATGAGTCTTTCTCCTTCATTTCCTTGGGTTTTGTAAATTTTTCAAATGATGTGACTATCGACATCAAATGTCACCTAATGTGGTATAAAAACATGGTATAAAGAACATTACTCGTGTCATATGATATAAACATGATGTTGATTTAGTGTAAGATTAATTAAACAAGATATAATACTTGTTAAGCTTTAATTTTGTGGTAAGAAGTGGGTAGCAGTCAATCGCCATTGGCTTTTGGGGATGCAAATAGCAAAGCCACTGGGGACACTCGAAAAGAAGAAAGAAAAAGAGTCCCACCAACAACTCCCATACACGAAGAGCATTCCTTCACTTGCCCTTTAATCATTAACCCCTCAAACTATTCCCTCTTTATAATGCCAACGCATTCAATTTAAGGTGGCTCCATTCACCACCAACTAAGCTCTTTAATCATTGGTTCAATACTTGGGATAGAAATAAATAATTGCACATAACAACTTTTTGTGTAAAGAAAAATTGACAAGGGAGCTTAATGAAACGATGCTTGTCAAAATGGGGAGCTTAATGGAATAATGCTTGTCAAAATGGGGTCCTTAGATTCCTTTGTATACAGCATCAAAGTGGGTGGAGTATATCATCAAACCACAGTCCTAGTCATCTTGAGTAATTTTGGAGAAAAAATTGTTTGTGCCCGTTTTAAGAAACATATCTTTCATATATAAACTCACGCGTTGCATGTTATCTTTAGAGCCATCTGACATAAAATTTCTTTTATTAGGTCTCATAATCGTATATCATACTGGTCTCATCAATGTAAGAAACTATCTTAATAGGAAAGTCCAATCGAGACCTCTCTCCAACCACATAATCTAAACTATTTATTAACAAAGCTTTCTTTGTCAACCAAAAGACATTGAAAAGATCAAATTAGCCCTACCAACAAAATAAAGAAAAATAACCAACCTAAAAGTTACTGGCAATATAGTAAAATTAAACACAAAATAATTTTACAATTTTTTATTTTTCAAAGTTTCACAGCTAGGTGATCATATCAGTTGTCTCCATTTTTTTTTCCAAGTTTTTCTCCTAAATAAAATAAACTCCTAGTACAAAATGGATATGCGGAAGCAATCGCTAAAGATATAAAAAGCCTCTTCAGCGACGAAAAATATTTTGAAGGTTCCTCACCAAAAAGTTTTAGCCTCCATAAATGTGTATAATTGCTAGTTTGACAAATGCGAAGTCTCGTAAAACCTTGTTTGCAATATTAGCTCGTGTTAGATAATTTTAAGTGGAGGGTTTAAAACTTTAACTTCGTTTGCCAAGTACATACAAGGAGGTTTGTGATGGAAAGAGATCATCTCTGAATATCTCTCCACTTACATAAAAACACGTGGTGTACCATCCATATTTCCGTTACAACTAAAAATTTCTCGTTCAACTGGAAAAGCACAAGTCCCTGTGTAAAAAAAAAAGCTAAAAATATATACATGTGTGGGGCTGAGGAATGTACATATCCCACATTTCTGCCTATATTCCGGGCCAGGAAACCACTATATACATACAGGATGATGACGACCAATCAACTCCCACATTGAAAGTGTTTCTCTGTCTTCATCGCAAAAGAAAAGAAAAGAAAAATGGTTACAACTTCTCCTCCAAAGGTGAGCATCACCACTCTTTATTCACACGACGTTTTCCAAATTCCACTCTGATTTTTCTGTTTGTTTGTTCATGTCCATGCTTGAAACTATGGCAGGAAGTTGTTTCAGACGACAAATGGAAGGAGGAGCCGGTGGACAACGCCCGCCGAGCAAAATGGTGGTACTCCACCTTTCACACAGTCACCGCCATGATCGGTGCCGGTGTACTCAGCCTGCCTTATGCCATGGCCTACTTAGGATGGTACAAAACACCCCAACTCATGATAATAATACATATACGAGTTGTACTTTGTATTAATATACTAATAAGCCCTACTTTTTTCTACCTTTAATTTTCAGGGGTCCAGGGACAATGGTGCTGGTAATATCATGGTGCATGACCTTGAACACAATGTGGCAGATGATTCAGCTCCATGAATGTGTTCCGGGAACTCGGTTTGACCGATACATCGACCTTGGCCGACACGCCTTCGGACCAAAGTTCGGGCCATGGATTGTGCTTCCGCAACAAATGATTGTGCAGGTTGGTTGTGACATAGTGTACATGGTCACCGGAGGAAAGTGTCTAAAGAAGTTTGTGGAGATGGTATGTGCCAATTGCACACCGGTCAAGCAATCGTACTGGATTGTCATCTTTGGTTCCCTTCATTTCTTTCTTTCCCAGCTCCCCAATTTCAACTCTGTTGCTGGTGTTTCTCTAGCAGCAGCTATCATGTCACTAAGGTAGTAATTTTAAGGGGTGTCATATCCACACACCCCATTTTACTTCTCACACACCTTTTTAATTTTTGGCCGTCAGATCGGATGAATTGAAGAAGATCAACGGACATAAATTATCAAGAGGTGTGTGAGAAGTAAAATGAGATGTGTGGATAGCACATCCCAATTTTAATTTTCACTTTCCATGAGAAGGAAAATCTGATTTAGAAGACTTGCTTTAGGCCAAACAAAATCTGTTAAAAGAAAAAAAAAACAAAAAAAACAAAAAAAAAGAGGGAGTGTGCAGAAATTAATTCCTTTTTACATACTTTACACAAACTCAAGTTAAAGGAGAAATTTTTCATTGTGACGGGAATACGAGTGGTACATCACATGTTATTATATAAGTGGTAGAAAGTTTAATTTTTTAAATTATTAATTTTTTAACACATATATTCCACTATTTGTATAATGACACATGGTATACTATCCTTTATTTCGGTCACATTAAAAGTTTTCTCTGAGTCAAGTGTGGTCTAGTTTTGTTCAACAGCATCAATTAGAGAAATGTGCATAAATTAGAGAAGTACGTACCATTTTTTTAAGGGCAGTTTTAACAAAATACTCCATGTATTGTTCACTTCTAATGAAAAATCACATATTTACCTTTAACTGGTATTATTCACTATACATTTAAAAAGGGTTTTTCGTTAAAAGAGAAGTTTTTTTGGACTTTTCGTTAGTTTTCATTTTTTTTAAAGGAAAACGAAAAAGGTTTGAAAACTTTGAGTTTTAACGATAAGGACAAAATAAAGGGTAAAGTGAATAGTACCAGGTAGACCTGTAAACGGGTTGGGTTTATTGGGTTTGGGTCAGGTTGAACCCGACTCGTTAAGCTAACGGGTCACCCGTTTCACCCGTTAACAATTATTATTATTCTTTTTTTGCATAAAGTTTATTTTTTGTTATTAAGACTTTACTAAAATTACTAAAATATCATCAACTAACGGGTGCTAATGGGTGTTAACGGTCCTAACAGGTCTAATAGGTTGACCCAAAGTGACTCGTTATTTAACGGGTTGTTAACGGGTTCACCCGTTAGCGACCCGACCCGTTAAGCATCCATCCAAATACAAATATTAACGGGTTGGGTCGGGTCGGGTTGGGTTAACGGGTTGGGTCCAAAATGCCAGGCCTAGTACCAGAATTGAATTTTTAGTGTAAAAATATGTTTTTTTGTTAAAGTAAACAGTACCGAGAGCTTTTCGTTAAAGTTCTTTTTTTTTAATACATACTATTGGCTGGGAGTGGATTAAGCCTAAGTTAGCCATACTGATTCGATCATTTTGAATTTGTTTTCAGCGAAAATCAAGGCTAAGACCTTTTACTTTCAAATGAATGAACACCACTAAACTGTAGTATACTAAGTGACAACTACTTACGAACTTTTAAATTAAAAGTAAAACTAGAAGGTTACTAAACAAATAATACACTAGTACGTTGCACAATATTTATGTTATTGTTTTAGTGCCTTCTAATTTTATTTGTGAATATTTTCCTTTTAAAATTCGAAAAAAATTTGGATAGAGATGCATGCTCTAGTTCTGCCAATAGTAGGACAACCCTACGGAAGATTTACTCGTAAACCTAACAAGAGAACTTTAGAAGGCAAATAATATATAATTTTCCTTAATAACTTGAATTTGTTGTTAATTTGCAGTTATTCAACTATAGCGTGGGCAGGTTGCTTAAGCAAAGGTCAGGTTGAAAACGTGAGCTATGCATACAAGAAAACAAGCCCTGCAGATTACATGTTTAGGGTTTTCAATGCATTAGGTCAAATCTCGTTTGCATTTGCCGGGCATGCAGTGGTGCTTGAAATCCAAGCCACAATTTCATCGACGCCCGAGAAGCCATCGAGAATTCCCATGTGGAAAGGTGCTCTAGGAGCCTACTTTATCAATGCAATTTGCTATTTCCCGGTGGCTCTCATCGGGTACTGGGCTTTCGGTCAAGATGTCGATGATAACGTGCTCATAGATCTTAAAAAACCTGCATGGCTCATTGCTGCTGCTAACCTAATGGTTGTCGTCCATGTCATTGGCAGCTACCAGGTATAAATCTGCACTCAGTTACAAAAGCAGACAACTAAAAGTGATTCCTGACAACTAAAAATACTTTTGATTATGTTTGGTAGAAAAACTTAGAAGCATTTTTTAGTGTTTTTCTAGAAAACACTTCCAAATATATTTTATAAAAGTTTTGGAAACACTTGGAATTATCTAATTTTTTTTTTAAATTTATAACAAAAGCACTTCTAATATAAATGCTAATGATTAGAGGTGTTTTCTATCGTAAAAACACACTTTAAACATTATTTTGAAAAGAAATAATTGGAACTGATCCGACCATTAGTGACTCCGACTTTAAGAGTTGATAGGAGATGGCTTTAATATATGCTTTGATTCTTTGAGTGTTTCTCATTAATATTAGAACTACACTAAATTAAGGATGTGACTGAAAAGTGTGCAGGTTTATGCTATGCCTGTTTTTGACATGCTTGAGAGGATGATGGTGAAAAAGGTGAACTTCCCACCTGGAATTGCACTTAGACTGATCACGAGATCAGCTTATGTTGGTGAGATTCCCATTTCCCATACGTCTCCGTATCTCGGTCATTTCTGCTTGATTAAAACCCTAATTAAGTTCCTAATCACTATATTGTTGCAGCATTTACATTATTTGTTGGAGTCACCTTCCCTTTCTTTGGAGACCTTCTTGGTTTCTTTGGTGGATTTGGTTTTGCCCCCACTTCATACTTTGTAAGCCTATCTCACTCTGTGATTTCTTAATTTGTTTCTTGCACAAATTACAGATGATCATCAGAAAGAAATTAACAAAGTGAGCATTTTTTCAACAGCTTCCTTGTATAATGTGGCTGAGAATTAAGAAACCAAAGAGATACAGCATTCCATGGCTCGTCAACTGGGTAAGCCAAAGATATCTAATGTTCCTTATTGTCGATATCGCAAATTGATACATCATGCTACAAAAAAGTTTATTTATGAGGACTGTGTGTGTTTACAGGTTTGCATATTCATCGGAGTGTTCATCATGTTGGCTTCCACAGTTGGAGGTTTTCGTAATATCATTGCTGATGCATCAACATATCGTTTTTACACGTAATTAACGATATATAAGCGGATTATTATGCCACTAATCAGACGAAAATTATGTATTATCCAAGTTGCGGAGTAACTAGTAAGGACTAGTGTTCTGTCATCCTCTTCCTTCAAGAATTAATCAAGCATGCAGTCTTTTAATTAGAGTGGATCATATTTAACGCCAAGCTACGTATCAAGCAACTCGTGCATCATTTTCATTTGTTTCTACTTTTTAATGCTAGGTTCTGGCTGTGAATTTGCTTTTACCATAAGCAATTTCAAGTCAAAATACTTTTTTGGAGTAGTGTTATCTAATATATTGTCACCGCATAAATGGCGGGAAATGAATAAGTGGTTCTTTGTCCTTAGAGAAATTTCACAAAACATAATTCGAGCAACTCTAAAGTAGAAGAAATAAAAAAAAATGCTGGCAACAATTTACCTCCGATGATATCTATAAACTTGGGCATAGCTGCATTTGCTAGACTAGTTATGCTCTATTATGCACTTGAGTTCGAATCCTCCTCCCCGTAGTTTGGATTAGTTCAAAACATCACGGTCCTGCGTTTTTTTCCAGGGCAGTTTCTTCTTTATGATCAGGCCTCTCAACCTTGACACCAAGGTCTTCATAACCATGAATATACATCATCTTGTCAGTATCAAACTTGGGTACTTTCAACATCTTGACCTTAGGATGAACACATTTTGTAAAGGAAAGATGCTCAGTGTTTCCTTCTCAATATCTCTACCTATACTTTCAGCCATCAACCTTTTGACAAAGTCATTCAGATCACTTGTTGTCGCCCACGCGACCATGATCTCCCTCATCTTGCAGCGGATCCGCCTAATCTGGCTGGTGCGTAGCAGGTCTTCTTAACCTATTTAGTAAATTAGAAGAAAGAAAGAAAAAAAGACCCCGAACAATTATAAGTTTCATACTGAAACACATTAATCGTGCTAAAAGTTGCATGCAGATTAAGTAGGGTAATTTAGTTTTTTCTTCTAAAATATTGAACTTGAAGTGTTTTCTGATGTGTAATGTTATCAAGCGCTTACCGACCCAATTTTGACGTCTCTTAGAGAAGCCAATGCAGAACATCCTTAAAGTATAATTGTCTGTCGTCTTCACATCTACGTGAGCTTCCATCAAAGTCTGCCATTTCCTTACCAAGGACCTCAGCTTGTCCATAGTGAAATTCATCCCCCAAAAGTTTATGAGACCTCCGAAAGTCGATGTTTGAGTGCTCCGGAAGCACTCTTGGTGCCCTGAGTACGGGAGACCAGAGTTTTACCCACGTTGTTGTTATAGAACCACAGACGAGGGGCATTGATGTCGTACCAATCTTTCTTCATATTTCGTAAACGGATCGGCAGCTTTCTTCTTTCCTGCTTTCTTTAACTTGGAAATCCTCTTTTTTTTTTTTTCCTGACGGTCATGGTTAAATAACTGGAATTTGAATAACTAATCGAGAAGAGTTCAAAGGGGGAGACCTACAGACACAGATGAAGTGAGAGACGAAAGTGGCCGTGAGAGCAAAACTTAAAAAAGGACAGTTACGTTTTTTTGCTCTCTGCATTTTCACCTAGTGTCAAAATTGCGAAAAATCTAATATGTTCCGTTATAACTTATACATGAAACTAATAATAAATTGAGGGTTGAATGTACGATCAAAAATTTAATAGTCATGAGTTACAATAAATTTTGGGGTGTGTTATCCACGTACTTCTTTACTTCTCACACACTCTTTATTAATGTCTACCCTTTGATCTTTTTCAATTCACCCGATCTAACGGCCGAAACTTAGAAGAATGTGTGAGAAGTAAAAAATGATGTGTGGATATCACACCCCTAAAGTTTAATGCTCACATTAACTTATTTTTATAAGTATAAAGTATAAATTGACTGAAAATAAAAATTCAAGACCCAAATTACATTAACTATAAATTGCGTTAATGAAACTGAACTAGTACATTGGAGATGCCTAACCCACCGCTCATTTCGGATTTTCATTTTAAATTGGATTTATTTATGTATTTATTCATTTATTTTGGTGAAGAAATTGGATTTATAATTTGACAAAAATTATTTTCAGTGTTCGTACTTGGTAGGGTCAAGACGACGCCGTCTTATGGATTGCGAAAACCAGAACTCCCACCAGACAGAGCACAGGAGTCCACCAGTTGTTCGATCTTTTTCTTGTTATTTCGGTTGTTTAAACCAAAACAGAAAATTCCTGTAACTAAATAAATAAAATCGCACGACGCATTGCAGCAGAAGCAGCAGCACAAGAAAAAAGAAAGATCGATTCATGGAGACTGCGATTTGCGGGAGAAATCCCTCTCTCCCCCAACCACGTCTTCAACCCCAAACCAGGTTCTCTGCATTTTTCTCATTTCTTTCCCTCTTTTCGGATTTTGGGTTTCCCTCAAAATCTTTGATTTCTTCAGCAGCTGCATGGTTACGAGTAGATTTTCTTAGCTCCTCTAACTCAAAGCTTGATTTTTTTTTTTTTTTAAATTAGGATTTTTGTTGTTTTTTATTGAATTTTATGAAATTTAAATGTATAATACGCCTAGAAAATTGATTATCTCTAATGGGTTTCTTTTTCTGTGTAAAATGGAAGTGTTCAGTACTGGTTTTACAGAACATGAACTGCTAAGGAAAAACCCCATATTGTTATATAGCTGTATGTAGTTCCTTATTAAGTTCTGTCGATGCTGCCAAAGGATTATATACCTGCTCGAATCGTATGTGTAAGTGTGCATTTGTATTCTTTGATGATTTGAAAGTTTTGATTACAATAAACATTTCCGAAAATTGAAAGCTTTTTCGGTAGGTACAAAGTTCATGTCAAATTTTCCAGTATCTTGGAAGAGGTTGGTAGGGGAGTGTAATGCAAGTTAGTTCGTTGTGTACTTGTGAATAAACTTTGGCGAGCTTCGTATGTGCTCTGTTGGGAATGGTGGAGTTTCGGTTTTTGCTAATGTAAGATCGAGCAATGGGAGGCACTAAAGATCCATCGTGTTGGTTTCCTTAAAAGGGTTACAAGGATTTTTGTGCAGTCCTAAAGATCCAGCATCTCTAGGGTCTGACTTCAGTGTAATTTGTATTATGACTTTGTTTCAGTTTAATTTTTTTAATATACTATAACTCATGATTCCTCTTATACCAGGGCTAAGAGTGCCTTTGCTACAATTTCGCTGTATTTCATCTTTCCGAGCAATCGGAGAGCCAATACTAAAGATTTGGGTTTTCAAAATCCATAGATTCTGTAGACATATATCTGCAGGCTTGTAAATACAAATGTTGTGGAGGTTCTAGATTATGCTATCTTCTTAATTCTTGACTGTTGCTAAATGTTTTTTTTTTTCAATCAAAGATTGGTTAGTAAGAATAGTGCGTTTCTGTAGTGTTTCTTTATCCTTGAACATATATATGCCCGAGTGATTACAATTGGCGAAGTTTTTTCATAAAACGTGTTTAGCAGGAGACAGACACCCTCTTTGTAAAGGAAAATGCACCAATATTAGCATTCCTGTGGCTGTATCAGCAGCAGTACCTGGTAAAGGAGGAGGGTTATTGGAAAGGCCAGTTAGAGAGAAAACAACTCCTGCCCGTGATTCTGAGTTTGATTTGAGGTATGGAAATACAGTTATATTTTTACACCATACGAGTGCTTTGTTTGACATTTTACTGCTGCAAAATGGGTTTTGCATCACTCCTATCGAATGCCCTACCTGTGCGTATCCTGTTGCACCAAACTTGATCGTTAAGACAAACTATTAAAACATATGATCCTTCCATGTTCATCTGGTTCCGGTTCAATTTGGTACTTGTGGTTTTTCTTCGAGTTCATGGTTTATCCTTTGTAAAATTAGAAGAGAGTTAATGTTAGACTGTCCAAAATTGTTCAGGAAATCAAGGAAGCCAGCTCCTCCATATCGTGTAATACTGCACAACGACAACTTCAACAAACGGGAATATGTTGTGCAAGTACTGATGAAGGTTATTCCGGGGATGACCCTTGACAATGCTGTTAATATTATGCAAGAAGCACACCACAATGGCTTGTCGGTAGTGATCATATGTGCACAGGCCGATGCTGAAGAACACTGCATGCAACTGAGACACAATGGACTTCTGAGTTCAATTGAACCTGCAGGTGGCGGATGTTAACAACGTGCATGGTGGAAATCCAATTGCTGTGAAGAATACCCCTGAGCATCGGATGTACATATTAATCCCAATGCCCCGATTGATATGAAATCTCGGTCATCCTATGGTAAAATTAAGACGAGGGTGGTAGTTTAATAAAAAGGCTTAGTTTTAGTGTTTGAGATTGCACTGTGTTCCGAGTGGCAATGGCCTGCTGAACTCTCCGTCTTATAGCTTATATAGATGGTGCTTTTCAAATCTGCTCATTTACATTTAATCAACTTAGGGTTCACTTAAGACTTGCTTATGGGAAGATCAAAAGCGCTTTTAGACAACCAAAAGTACTGTCTTTCAGCGGTATTTATTCTTGATTATCCGCTGCTACTATTGTTGGACTAATAGCTCCCTTTTATTTGCATTAGTCCAGCATTAAAATTCGATACCAAATTTTCTTTTCGTGTTGATTCGACTTGTTATCCGTTCAGATTGATCGGTTCCATCATCTTGAGTGCTCCTGTTCGATTGCGATTCATCGAAATGAGTTAAAACCAGGAGTCTTATGTTGTCTCAAACCCGAAAGCAACGATTACGTTGTGTAGCTCAACTTAATCCTTGCTTTGGGTCGACAATGAACAAATAAAGTAATCCCATAATTCCAATTGATAAGATAAATGACCTTTGTTACGGTAAGGTTACAACATAATCCGAGTAGAGATATATCGAGATCAACGTAAACTTTGATTTTATACGAAAGGAATGCAACGACAGAGTACAGAGTAGAGCAGAACTGTTCTAATCAGTGATTCCAAAGTTGCCAGAGCGCAATATTGGTATTGTTCTTGTAGACAATCCAACTCTTTGAATCAGTTCTTTTTCTGATACGCTTGTCGTTTTGATAAACAATGAAGCTGAAATGCTTGTAAATTACTCGCACGGTGTAGGTGGAGATGTAAGTTCTTTAGTCAACAAATCATCCATCAATCCCTGAAACGCACATTAGGACACAGAAGAGTCGTCATCAAAAACATATTCTAGAACAGTTATCGCATTCTTCTCTTTGTGAAATTTTTACAACGAGCATGCATTTTCCGGCCACTCACACCTCTAAAATGTCTACTTTGCTATGAATATATGGTGTAAATGTAGTCAGCATACTTACTAATCATTGATCAGACTATAGGTATCAAGCCTCCACCGTCGAAAGGAAGGATTGGATTCCGAAAACAATGAAAAGAACTCCACCTGATAAACCAACCTGAACAAAACAGTTATAACTTACAACTTTGATGCCACATATTTTCCTACAGCCAACAGGCATGATATATAAAAACGAGAACTATAATATGTTAAAGCACAAAGGCAGGGCATATAATTACTATTTTCTCAGATATCTGAGATGCCAAGCTCTTTCCACCAAGGACAGCGGCAGTCGTACACAATGCTTGTCCTCTGAGAAAAAGATGGGAAGCACAATCAGTAAATAGTGCAGAAGTAACAATAAATGGAATAACTACGAGATTTCAGAAGCCGTTCAGTTTATAAAGGATGGGAACTTACAAGATTCCACCAAGAACCACACCTAATGGGTTCTCATCTGCAGCCAGACCGATGGTAGCTAGCTGAAAGAATAGCAGGTCAAAACCAAACCGTCTTGAAGCAATAATGAATAAAATTATATATTCAACGGGGAAAATGCTCACCTGGCTCTTGTCACCCCATTCACCGAAAAAAGTAATGGAAAAGGCCTACAGCATAAGCATGATAGATGCGGTTAAGTTATAGTCATGCAAAAATTTGAATTTCGTAATCCACAGATGACAAAACCTTCAAAAAGATTGGTGAGAAGAACTGCAAGAGAAATGAACGTCTCTGCTTCTTGTCATCATCATCCTGAAAAGTAATCGACGTTCATAAGTTAAAAACAAAAACTAGCATGATGTATCTCATAATGGTGTAGCTCAAAATTGCACATAGTAGAGAGAGAGTGTGTCTCGGGGCACCTTACTACGTTTGCTGCCTCCTGTGTTAGCCTTTAGATCAGCATCCTAATGGCACCAAAAGGGTGAAATCAGAAAGGATTTAAATTGAATGCAAGCTATGAATAAAAATATGAGAAACCAACCAACTCTGCTTCAACTTCTGCAAGCTCATCATCACCCCTGTAGGGTAACCATAATTAAATTCGACCACAAAAAGAAAACAGTAAAATAAATACAAAAAAATAATAATAATTCCATTACCCATCTTCTTTAAAAGCATCCCATAAGGACCATAGTCCAAAACCAAAGAACAACACCGTCGTTATGTGATGGGACCATTTCCTTGAGAGCTGTAATTCAAGATCAGTGTTCAGTATATTCATATTAGAACAGAAAACAAATAGAAATATGGCTATTCTTGGTAATGTCAGTCAGGCAACTTTAGGTAGATGCCCTCAACTACATGCTGAGAGATTTGTCAATGTATTATTCACCCATATTGACTGAATATAATGTTCCAGTTAATTCTGGCACCACTAGTGTCGATGACAGAAGCATATGACAACACGAAGTTTTCAGTCTTCTAGAGTTTTAAACAACAGGTTTCGCTTATGATGAACAAATTTTTAGTTTATAGCTTGTATCCATATTACTAAGCCCAAACAATCAATAAAAACTGCAATCGTCCTTGGAATTGCAGGCCGAATGAAATGGGATCTCATACTAAAGTTCAATACCAGTAGATTCTTACCGTTTGAAGTAAACTTCAGTCACCTATAACTCTATAACCTTAAAATAGAATTTACTGTAGATCAAAGTGGGTCTTAAATCCTTTTTCCTTAAAATGTTTCCACTCAAATGACCACCACTAAGAGATGCTCTAAGTGGGACAATCATTAACCATCATATCATGAAAGTAAAGTTGAATATCAGAGTGCGCAACGAACAAGATTACAAAATAATAAGAATATTATTAAACAAACTGAATGCCGAAACGGCTACATAATCCCAAGAGACTACATCGTGACTGACTTGTTAAAACTAACTAATACAAGCACTATTATATATAGTGAAAACTAAAGCACAATCATAATCCTTAAAGGATATAGAAAATTCTAACATCCTTGTCCCACAAGAAAACCATAAACAAAAATAAACTAATAACTAATTTTCCAACACCCCCCGTCAAACTCATGGCGGTACACGTCATGAGTTTGCCAACAAGTAGATGTGGATGCAAGACTCCAAATTCCAATGCTAATGCCGATGCAAATTCCAACTTCCGAACAAACTTGAACAAAAAAACAAAAAATCCAACTTTCGTAACGTCACTCGAATGATCACCAGTCCAAGCACTCGATCGATTGTCGCTGTGAGAATGACACACAAACCAAACAAATCATATTTCTTTCTTGCCCATGTGGGCCTAAGCCTCAAACAATCAACCAATTTTTTCTTTTTCCTTTTTCTTGTTTCTTCCTTTTTTTTTTTTTTTTTTTCCTCCCCCTTTAAACAGCACGTCTTCTTCTTTTCCATTTTCATGTATCCTTCTTCCTGTATTCTTCTTCCATTCTCTTCTATTTTCTTATTTTTGCATAAACATTACTCTGCGATCTGACAAACACGACATAGAAAACGAACACAGATTGACCAGAACAAAAGCGGACAACTTTCACAAAACTCACCTAATCCAGACCCAAAAAGAAACCAATAACAATCAATCTTGACGAACCTAACTAGAACCCTAACAGATAACGGAGGCAATAGAGAAACGGATGTCAAACAAGCAGATTAAATCCCGAATGATCAAACCTGCTCTGATACCAAGTTGAATATCAGAGTGCGCAACGAACAAAAAATAGATCAAAGTGGGTCTTAAATCCTTTTTCCTTAAAATGTTTCCACTCAAATGACCACCACTAAGAGATGCTCTAAGTGGGACAATCATTAACCATCATATCATGAAAGTAAAGTTGAATATCAGAGTGCGCAACGAACAAGATTACAAAATAATAAGAATATTATTAAACAAACTGAATGCCGAAACAGCTACATAATCCCAAGAGACTACATCATGACTAACTTGTTAAAACTAACTAATACAAGCTCTATTATATATAGTGAAAACTAAAGCACAATCCTAATCCTTAAAAGATATAGAAAATTCTAACATCCTTGTCCCACAAGAAAACTATAAACAAAAATAAACTAATAACTAATTTTCCAACAAGTAAATTCCCTTGGATCTTAAAACAAATCCCTAGATGAGCAATTCCATGGTGGTAGAATCAGAGTGCTTACCAGATTTGGAGCAGCCAAGCCGACGAGAACAGAAAGAATAGTCATCACCTAAAATTCAACAAAAAATTGAGATACATGTGAGGCCTCAAAAAAGAAACATCCGAGATCACAGACATAACTGACTAAACGTTTATAAAGTGGGAGAAAATGCTTACAATCAGAGCTCCTAGGCAACCTGCCAAAACAAGTCTTCTAGGATGGCGCATCGCAAGGATCTTGAAGCAAAAACATCACACCATTAGATTACTATGCAAAAATCGTATATAGACAGAAGAATATTAATTCAGGATGTGGTTCTCGCCCTTATGGAATTCGCTTCGTACCCAAGGCAGGGACACAAGTATATTTTATATGCATCTATACCCCCATAAAATGCTCAACAGGTGACCGAGAGCATTCAAATTTTACTATGTCCTCTCAAAATTCATACGTAAACTAAACAATTCAGCAGAAACTCGATTTTCTCAGTAGTATTGAATTCGTAAACTTTTTAACATGCCCAAATTCTTTTCCACAACTCAAAAACAAGCAAAAGGTAAAAAGAAACAAAATTGCAATCGCATAAACTAACCGCAGCGGCGAAGAAGGTCTTGTCGCCGATCTCCGAGAGCACAGTCATGGCAAGCGACTTGGTGAAACCCTAATCAACGAAAGCATCAACATAATTAAGCTAAACAAATCGAAATCAAAACAAAATACGAACGCGTTTTGATTAATCAGAAAGATTGAATTACCTGCACGACTGTACTCATTTTTTCACTGAGTAGCGTAGAAGAATAACTGAATGCTTTTTCGCAAAGAAGTGAGTCAGAGTTTGGGAATCGCTCTGCCAATTTGGTGAGTGAGCGAGTGGGTTGGTCCGGCGATATGTGACTGACTCGGCTGGGTCGTTGGAGTTTCTGAACCCGGGATAAGTAGTAGGAGTAGCAGAGTACAACAGTGTGGGGATATTTGAAGCATGCGGATGCGGTTTAATGTATAAAAAGAGGCTGCGAGTCACCATCGATTTTTTTTTTTTTTTTTTTACCACGAAAAAAAAATAGAAAAGATGAAAGATTTTTTAGTGTGATCGGAAGTTTCAGAACACGGAATAGTACATCACTTGTTATTATATAAATGGTATGATATTTATGTGTTAAAAGTTAATAACTTAAAAATTAAAATTTCTCATCACTTATATAAAAACACATAATGTATCACTAGTTTTCTGGTTACAATGAAAAAAAATTCAGAAAATAGGGGAAAAAAAGGCTGTTGGGAGAGGATTGGATGCTCTGGCAGCTTTATCAAACGGAGGCAGATTCTCTGCCCTCCCACTTCACGTGCCTTCCCGTGCCCTCCTGTTGTGTGTGGTCATGGTTAAGCCACGTCAACATTTTATATATATTTTTTATACAGATAATAAGACAAAAATGAATAGTAATATAAAATGTTGACGTGGTTTAACTGTAACCACACAAACAGGAGGGCACGGGAAGTGGGAGGGCAGAGAATATGCCTCCTTATCAAACAGTCTAAGCGTTGACCCTGTGCGTGTTGAATCCACTCTCTCATTTTGGTTTTTTCTTCCAGTAAATTAGGGTTTCATACAATGTTTTTCAATTTTTAAAATTTCATAAAACGGCTCACGATTTTTTCGTGACTCATTGTATGAGAATTTTAAAGGTGGTGTTATTTGTTAACGTTGGGCCATTTTAGGCCCAACAAATGGCATAAGCCAAAGGAAAGACTAAGGAGCCCACGGCCCAAGGGGTTCAAAGAGGGTTGACCTGAACACTCGAGCTGACCGAGACAAAAGAAAAATCACACAACCGCGTGGAACATGTGAGCGAACTGACAACTTCATTGCACAAGTCTCTAGGGGCAAAACTACTCAAGTGCTATTCAAACCATAGAGCAACTTACAATCCACAACAAAGGCCTAGGATAGAACGTAAAGGCAGTCGGAATAATGCTTGGCAATGAGGGTAGAGTAACCAAGGTCTAAGTGGGACACTTTGCTCGCTTGAACCTAAAAGGCACATCACCCCGACTACTAACGTGAACAAGGGCATGGGCGAATAGGTGGAAATGTGTCAATAAGCTAGTGCAAGTTGTTGGCACACTAAATGTCAGTTTGAGAGCCCACAAGAGAGAGAATGGAGTGAATATATGAACCGAGCGCTATTTAGCCTTGAAATCAATATATTGATGAGCAACAAAGTGGATGTAGCCATTTTTAAGGGGCGAACCACTTATATCTTTGAGTCCCTTTAATACTAGCATGTTTCTTAAGCCCGTCTAAAGTGATTTAATTAAGTTTTGTAACCTTACAATTTTAACGTTAACATGATCCACACATCCATTTTACTCCTCACACCCTCTTAATTTTCAATCGTCGGATCAAATGAATTGAAGAATATCAATGAACAAAAATTAACAAAAGTGTGTGGGAGGTAAAAAAATGGTGAGTGTATAGCACCACTCATTTGTAATTGAATGAAAATATGAGGAGGCGAAATATAATTTACCATTTTTTCCTTTTCTTGTTTTTTGATTTATGGGATTTTTGAAACCCCTTTTAAAATGGCTGAAAGCATCACGAAAAAATAATTGTATTTAATTATGTTGATATAAAAACATAAAAGTGTTTGCAAACTTAGATTTAACCAAATTTGTTAGAACGATACTTAAGTTTCAAATATCACCAGCATTGTACGCTGGTATATTCAATTTGTGGCTCCAGATCAATATAATAAATCAAGGGCGGTGCAATCATCCAGGGTTGTATAAATTAGAATTGTCAGGAAGTGAAAGCAAAACAAGAAGTGCTGTTGTAAGGCTATCTCTAACCGCTAGAGGGCTCGTTTTAGTCTTCTGGCCCTCCAAGATTCTCCAAGATATTAATATTTTAATGAACAGTACAAGGCCATATTTGCCTCCATCTCCAACCGAGGGCCAGAGGGCCAGAGGGCTCGTTTTAGCCCTATCACAAAAAACCGTCTCCAACTAAGGGCCAAAGGGCCATAGGGCCAAACATAATTTATTATTTAAAAACTACAACTAAAATGTTGTTTAAGTTTCATGTTGTATAATTTTTATGTTGGTTAATTTTATTTAATGTTGTTTCATATTGTTTAATGTTATTTCATGTTACTTAATTTAATTTAATGTTGTATAATGGCTTAGGAAGTTATAGGAAAAAAATATGAAACAAATTTTGTGAAATAGAAGTTATAGGAAAAAAATGGAATTTAAAAAACAATATGAATTAAATTTTGTGAAATAGAAGTTATAGGAAAAAAATGGAATTTAAAAAACAATATGAAGTAAATTTTGTGAAATAGAAGTTATAGGAAAAAAATGGAATTTAAAAAAAAACCAAATTTTGTGAAATAGAAGTTATAGGAAAAAATAGAAGTTATATGAAAAATTTTGTAAATAAAAAAAATAAAAAAAATGTAAAAAAAAAATAAAAATTAAATCAAATGCAACGGCTAGTAGCCGTTTCATTTGAATTTTTTTTAAAACAATCCTGTCGGTTATAACCGATAGGAATACACCATTATTTAGTATATTAAATAATAGTATGTATTCCTGTCGGTTATAACCGACAGGAATAACAAAACTATAAAAAAAAAAAATAGCCAGCTCGGGGCTGGCTGGCCGAAAGCAGCCAGCCCTCCAGCCCTCTCTGATCTCGTGGGGCCCTCCCAGATTCCAGAGCCCTCTGGCCTAGCCCTCGGTTGGAGACGGTTTTAGGGCTATTTTCGGCCCTCTGGCTCTCTGGACCCTTCGGTTAGAGATGGCCTAACCAGGGCCGGCCCAAGCTCAGGGTTGGTGGGACGACTGTTCGGGGTCTAAAATAATTTGGGGCATCAAAATTATTACGATAGTATATTTATATATATTTTCATAAGAATATAAATTTATAAAATTTGGTTTAATGATAAATAAATTTAACTAGAACTGATAGTTTTGTTGTTTGAAATTAATGAGGAGGTTTTGAGTTCAAAATACCATGTGTGCTTATTTATTTTTCAATTTTTACAAATTTATTTTCATAAGATTATAAATATATAAATTTGGCTAAATGATCAAGTAGTTTAATTAGAATCAATGGTTTTTGTTTTTTAAAATTAACGAGAGGTCCTAAATTTAAAATGCTAAGTGCATGTTTATTCTTTTCAATTTTTACGAATATTTGTTTGGTTGTTAATTTATTTTTAATTAGTAGCTAGTAGCTAGTAGCTATATGAGTTGTTATTTTTAAACATTTGTTCCAATTCAAGTCTAATATTCAATGAAGAGTAATGCGTTGACCAAATTTTTAGACCAAATTTGCAAATCATATAACGTGTCATCAAAAAATTTAATTTAGTACCAATTTATTACTTATACATATCAATTAAAAACTAAAAAACATCATTATTTTTTTAGTCCCATATTAACAAGGTTAGTAAATAAGAAAAAACACCTCACGATTTATACAAAACACTTTAAAAGTTCAGATGGAAAACAAAACTCATATCTATCTACTTGTAAACCCGGAGTTTTTCTGTTTCCTTCTCACGATACAAAATAAATTAGTTTTTCTGTATTTCTAAATTATAAAATTTGAAGTGATTTTCTAAGTATAATTTTATCGATATCTTACGTGTGAAAATAAATATTTTTCTTATATAAAGTGAAGGCATATGTTTTTAGAGTCGCTCCAGATCTTAAAAATCTCTAAACCATTCCTGATTGTAACCCAACCTCAAATTAATTGTTTCCAATTTTAATTATCCAGATATGCGTACGAACAAATGACTATTCGACAACGTTTGTTATTCCTTTATCAGCATCGAAACATGAAAGACGAGATTGTCTCTATTATTTAAACCCGCCACTTTAATTAGTTGAGCACAAACTCACAAAGTTGGGAATCTATCATACATGTATTATTTGTAAAGAATATCATTCTCAATCTAACGAAAGAATCAAAGATGTTTGGCTAGAAATGCTTCATGAGTCATTACATTAAATAATTCAGGGCTTGTAGGCCCCGTAGGTCAATTTGGTATTTTCAATATAATCATTAGCTGTTATTCTCGCTCAATTGTCTTATCTCTATTAATCTCTATTAATTAATGAAATATTTTTGTCAATAAAAAAGGTGAAAAAATTACTTAATCTTTTATCGCACAACAAAAAATAATGGGCAATAATGTAATTTTACAGGTCTAAATTTTACTGTTTTTTATTGAAGTCTCACCTACATGTAATATTAAAATACCTCCAATATTAAAAAAAAAAAAAAAAACCTCTCACTCCCCCCCCCACATGTTCTCTCTCTCTCTCTCTCCTTCTCATTTTCTAAAACAATGTGTTCATACACACAAAATGTGTAGGCAAATGTTAATATTAATTTTAAAATAATATATTTATTTATATTCTTTTGCAAAATAACTTAAAAGGACCTATAAAATACAAATGTTAATATTAATTTTAAAATAATATATTTATTTATATTCTTTTGCAAAATAACTTAAAAGGACCTATAAAATAAAAATGGGTGAAATAACAGCAGTGGGCCTTTGTCCACTCCATCTATCTCCCCCTTCGTCGTCCAAACACCCATCACTGCTTCATAAGACCCATGGTTTTAAATTTTCTCTCCTCCAACCCCTTCTCCCTCATTTCCCATCTTTCTAAAACATGGAAATACATAACCTACTCATTGAATTCCAAAACCTTGAAATCCAAAGGAAAACTCAAACGCCCAAACGCAATTGAGTTTAGATCGAGGTGATGCGGTAATTTATTAAAACGAGAAGTTATATCATTTGTGAGAGATGAGTGAGACTATGCAGGAAACGAGAAGTTAAGTGGAGGTGAGGCGGTTTTTTTATGTTGGGTGAAAAGGGGAAGTAGACGAGAAAATGAGACAATAAATTGGGCTTAGGAGCACCCAAAAAGAAGGGCCGCTCGACCGAGTACTTACATTGGCACTTCATTCACTTGCGGGCTTTGACTGCAACCCAAATTAGATGAGGTGTCCACTAAGAAAAGAAGTAGAGAAACACAAAGGACATGAACCATATAATATTATATCATACAACGTGCATTTACGCATGTAATGTGTGTCTTTTGTGTACATTAAGAGAATAAAAGTCACTTAGTACTACGGTTTGGTAGTATTATTCTTCACTTGTAAGTGAGAAGTTTTAGGTTTGATTCTCGTCAAAAGCGAATTTGAACCACATTATTGCTAACTTATTATAAGGCTTAGCCCACCACTTTCCCCTTACTGTAGATAATATCGTTTGTTAAAAAAATAAAAAATAAAAGATTTACATATATAACTATTTAGTAATTTGGTTTTTTAAGTTTTATAATTTTATATGTTACTTAAAACTCACAACATCAAACTAGATGAATTTTCAATCTTTGAACATGGGTTACGTTTGTTCATAGTTTTATTTATTATTTATTTTTTATTTTTGTATGAGATGTTGGAGGAAATTTTGTATAGGTAATGCTTAAATGTTTATATGTTGGAGGAAATAAGAATGAATGATGCTTTGACTCCTTAAATTTTTGTATAGGTAATGCCAGCAGAATTTGTCTAAAAAGCGAGTTCAGAAAGCCTCTTCTTGTCCGTGAAATTGAAAGTACTCAAATATAATTTCCCTCTCTCACACCAACATTAAATTTAAAAAAAAAACACTTCTCTAACAAATTTCGAGACCACGAGATGACTCATGGTGTCGGAAAAGGAAAACGAAGATCATGACAGATGAACTTTGCTGGCAAACAATGACCCTTTGGCAGACAAACACGATGACTGCAACTTAGGAAGATGACTCTAACGGACGAAGCCGAAAACCAATGTTGCCGGATAAGACGACAGAGATGGTTTGGCAAAGAAAGGAGAGAAGATCAATTGACGAACAAAAATTTGGATTAAGAGGTCTAGCCAACCGCAACTCAGAGGTTAACGATGGACTATAAAGATGGTTCACTCAGGTTCCCAAATAAATAAATGGGTGTTATTTGAAATTTTTTTGTTTTTGTTTTTGTCACTTTGTTGGGTTTTTTTATTAATAATTTAAATAATAAAAAATATACACCACGAAGAAAAAGTTTAATAGTGGTTAAACAAAATTTTTTTCTATCAGTCCATTATATATATATATATATATATATATATATATATATATATATATATATATATATATATATATATATATATAATATTCACAATAAGATTAAAGTAGAGGATAAGCATGACTAATTTAGGGTTAATTACACTAACATCACTTGAGGTTTATCATTTTTTCACAAAACCCCCTCAGATTTGAAACATTACACTCACACGCCTTGACGTTTTAATTCATTTTCACATCCACCCCTTAAGGACAAAATTACCCTTGTAGTTAATTAGTTAAAAATAAATTTTTTAATAAATAAATGGAAAAACAAAATCAAAATAAACAAATTATATTAAAACATTAAAAAAAATAAAATGAAACCCTAGATGCATGTCTTATATCATTGGATCCTTCATCCCTGTCAATTTCTTAGCCGGCACCCTAAATGCATATATATCGTATCGCTTCTTCCCTTGCAATTGCTTAGCAAGCACACCCCACCGGTGGGGCCCTTGGTTGTAGTTTAATTTAATTAATCATATTAATTGAATTAAAATAATAAATTATGTTTGACTTATGGTCATTTGGCCCCCTCAGTTAGAGATGATTTTTTGTCAAATGACTATATTTAGCCTTTGACCCTTTGACCCTCTCGGTTAGAGATGGTATAAAATATGGCCTAACATTGTTCATTAAAATATAATTTTTTTTTTCAGGGCTATATGGTTAAAAAGAACCATTTGACACTCATTCGGTTGAAGATGACCTTAATATTGAAAAAGTCTCATAAAATGGTTTGGGCAGCTGGGCTTGGACCTTGACATAAAAGAAATTAGGGCAATGGGCCAAGCCATGTATAAGTCCAAGGCCCAAAACAATGCTAGGTCAATGAAGCCCGTCAAAGTTTTTTTTTTACTAGTGTTTTTATTTGGATTTTACGATTAGCTCGTAACGTCGTTGCCATTGTATTGAAGCGTTCAAAGTTTTGAATTGCATATAAAATTTGAAATAAATATGAAAATGCCAAATCCAAGTTTCCTACAATGGTCATATTTTTGTTAAATTTTAATTTGAAAAAGGGTAAATTAAACTTTACCATCTCAGGTTTGGGGTCAATTTCAATTTCTTACATCTTTAAAATATTTCACTTTCATATCTCAAGTACTATTTTATTTCAATATAATTCATCCATTACAATTTCCATTCATTGATCCGTTAAGAACTGACGTGGCTGACACATTTGTGCCACGTGACAAAAAATATGTATTAATTTTTTTTTTTAAAAAACCTGAATCTTCTAAAAAAAAAATTAAAAAAACCTGAAAGAAAAACCCCAAAATCCCTTCGCCTTCCCCACCACGCACCCCTTTCTCCCAAAAATCCCAAAATCCCCTAAACCCCTTCCCCCATCCCCCATCACTCGCCTAGTCCCTCATCTCCAACCCCTTATCTCTTCTCACCCTCGTCTCCTTCACCTGTGTTAGAACCCCCGCCGCCATGGCCTCGTTTTGGCTATTCTCTGACGTCGAGCACAGATACAGCAACACTCCCATCGCGTACTCCGTCACCCGATCTGAGATCTTCATAATCGTCTTCACCAGTATCGGCACAGTCAGCCGGTGCGTCACAAACGCCGTGCAACCCTCGGGGATTTGCATACCAGTTCGATCGTCGCGAGTGCACGCTCCGAGCCCTGCGGTCCCGCCATCGGGATCTGCAATTCGCCTGACATTTTTGAAATTGAAGGAAGGTTTGGGGGATGAGTCGAAATCAGGGGTAAAGAGAGTGGAGGAGAGGGAGTTGGTTGGGAAGCTCGAGAAGGAGAACAGGGGTGGGGAGGGATTGCGGGGCAGGTGAGGGTGGGTTATGCGTTTTTCAGGTTTTTTTTTTTAAATTAAATTTTTTTTTTTGCCATGTGGCACAAATGCAGCAGCCACATTAACTCTTAACAGATCAATAGATGAAAACTGTAATGGATGCATTATATTGAACTAAAATAATACTTGAGGTATGAAAGTGAAATGTTTTAAAGATGTTGTAAGGAATTTAAATTGACCCCAAACCTAATATAGTAAAGTGTAATTTACCTTTTGAAAAATGTTTATCATGTGGTGGTTACGGGGTCCTTTTCCTCTGATTTTGCATTGAGGCGGCTTTTAAGAAGACGAATAAGGTTGATGTGGAAAACAATAAGACGTAAACTCATTTTGTGCATTGGTAAAGGATAAGATTGAATAAACTAGTGGTTGGTCAAGTTTGAGCAAGTTGTTTGGAAGGCAACTGAAAACAGAAACCCTAAAAAGGGTTGAGATCTCTTGCCAATTATGATTTGCATAAGCTATTTGGCTAGTGGTACAACCAAAACTTGCAATTCCCCACTTATATTCTTCTATGTTGTGGATAATATATTCTCAAAGTGGACATCAGAATTCATTGTTTGCCACTATCCCACCAATGAATCAGGAGAAATTTTTGAGTGTTTCGTAAACACAGCTCGGTATAATAAGTGTTATAATATAAGTGATTGAATTTGGTTTTTTTTCAAATATATAATCACTTATTTTTTTGAATGCGTCAGAGATACAACTCGATATAATACAAATAATTGAATTTGTTTTTTTTTTCAAATATCTAACCACTTATTATGACATTTGATGTACAGGACTGTGCTTGCACACTCAATAAATTCTCAAGAACCACGTCTGGAAGCTTCTAGATAGGATGTTGATATTACCAAAAACACCCCGGATAAATAACAAAGTTGCAAATCAGGACGCTGGCCTGATCTCTTGGTCAAACCTCAACCCAAAAGCCAAAGATTCAGTCTTTTTCTACTGATTTAGCCGTTGAGTTTCAGTTTCTTCCCCACCATTTCTCTGCGTTTTCCCCAATTTTTCATTTCTTTAATATTATATTATTCCTCCTTTGATTTAATTAAACAATTAACAAACCCTAAAAATTATTAAACCCCTCCATTGACCTCCCTCTCCTTCTTCGCCTTGTTAGTCACGCTCTCTCTCTGTGAACAAAAACCCTCAAAATTCTCGTTCTTTCGGCAATGCGCGTTGTTTTGCCCCTCTCAGCATGAACAACATCTCTCACAGCTTCTCCTCCTCCACCTCCTCCTCCGTCAATTCCGCCTCCATCACCACCGCTGATCCGGTAAGTGCATCACTCGCTTGAAGCTTTTGAGTTTTGAAGTTTTCGATCACTTTGAATTCATTAGGCCCTGCAAAGACTAAACCTTTTTGCTCAATTTTTCGGTTTGCTTGGACAATTTCTGTACAATTTTCGTGTGTAAACTGCAATTGTTTAGCTTTTTGAAGCTTAATTAAGTTAAATTCAGTTCCGTTGATTACGTTATGCTCGAAAAGTTATGAACTTTTTTATTGGTTTGATTGAATTCGATGGCTTAGCTCGAATTGATGTCGAAAGCTTCTGAATTTGATTTCTGTTGTTTGATTTCTTTTGATTGTAGAATACAATGTTATGCCTGCAAAGTAACTTTTTGATTGGTTTGATTGAATTCGATGGCTTAGCTCGAATTGATGCCAAAAGCTTCTGAATTTGATTGCTGTTGTTTTATTTCTTTTGGTTATAGAATGCAATCTCGAGTCGGAGGAGCATGGATGGTAGTCAAGCCTTGGCTGCTGAGCCATCGCGTCGATGGCGTGACATTTTCTGGTTGGGAGTGTTTCTAATTCATTTGGTTTTGGTGGGATGTGCACTTATAGTTCTGGGAATCAATAGGTTTAAGAAAACAGATAGGCTAAACATAGATAGGTACACCCAGAGGTTTTTGGAAAATCAAAGGGGGTTGACGGAGAACTATTGGCTGCTTTATGCTCTTGCCGGTGGAGTTGGGACACTTCTTGGTTGGACATGGTTGTTCTTCCTCCGTTCTCAAGCGAATCACATGATGAAGTTTGCGGTTCACATCTTGACTACTTATCTTGCTGTGATTAGTGTTCTATTGTTTTGGATGGAACAGTTTTTCTGGGGAGTTGCATTTGCGATTGGTGCTGTATTGCAGTTCATGTATGTTCTTTCAATTGTGGACAGGTATGACTTTGAAATTTCATTGTTAGTTTGTATCTTACAATTCTAAATAATTGTCCAGGATTAAGTAAACTTAATAGTTTATTATTATAATTTTGTTTGAACTTATATGTGGCCTATAGATCTTACATGTTGGTTCTTCTGTTAGACCGTTATAGGGGATTTTGGCTAAAAAATTAAAAATAAACATTGAAAATGATTTCTTTTGAACTAATAAGTGAATAAAGTGGAAAAAAGATGCAATATCTAGGTTTATGTTCACAAACTGGAACCTGCATACTAAATTTTCTTTTGGGCTGCTATTCCTTTAGCTGCATATTATGAAACTCTGTTGGCTGAACCGAAAATTTGTATTCTTCATATATGGATGTAATTATACACATTTTAGTATTTATACTGTGAGGCTGGCTTGCCTATGTTTTAGAATTAGGGCACGTGATCGGGGTTATTCTGCCGTGAAAATTGTATCTGATACAGCTTGAGTGGTCCCAAGTAGTTGTGTATTGAAGAAGTTTTCCGCAGTTGTATATGCTGTTTTTAGGTTGCAGAGGTTCGACCTTTTGCTTTCCTATTACTTGATTGTCAAGATAGGCCACTGGACCATTCTTGAGCTGCAAGAGGAACAATTCTTTGCACTTATAGAATGTCTTAATGCATATTAAATTAGGAATGGAATGATCATATCCCTTTGCAGTCTTTCTGACTCTATTGTTAATAAATAGACTTCCCTTTACCATGCTGGTGCTACAAGCCGCTGTCAAGATGGTATGGAGTCTACGAGAAGTTATGAGAGTAGCATATGCTTTCATGCTTATTATGCTTGTTTGGATGGTATTATGGTCGTTTGGGGCAGCTGGTGTTGTAGCTTCAAGCATTGGAGATGGTGGACGCTGGTGGCTTCTTGTGGTGAGCTGGCAAGTTTTGCTCTTCTTTCATCTATTGTTATTGGGATATGAATGCAATATAACAATTACAATGCCTCAGCTAATGACGTTAATAATGCTGTCACATATGTACTTAGGTTCTCTCTATAAGCTTATTTTGGACGGGGGCAGTACTCTGTAATACTGTGCATGTTATAGTGTCTGGGATGGTGTTTCTTGTTCTTATCCATGGTGGTAGGGAGGCACCATCAATGCCTCCAAACTCACTGATGAAGTCTCTTCGGTATGCAGTCACAACTTCTTTTGGCAGTATCTGCTATGGTTCACTTTTCACAGCTTTCATTCGGACACTGCGGTGGAAGGTACACATTCATGTGTTTGCTTTTCTGAACGATGATTTTTCCTAATATTTCTGTTTAAGTTTGAGAGTGAGTATCTTAATATCTTAGTTCTTACGATTCCGAAACATATTTCAGATCAGGGGAGTTCGGTCCAAGATAGGCAACAATGAGTGTCTACTTTGCTGTGTTGATTTTCTCTTTAATCTAGTGGAGACTCTTGTCCGTTTCTTTAACAAGTATGCCTATGTCCAGGTAGCTTTCTGTTGACAAACGCTGTCATTTCAATTTTCAATTGAGATTGAATCAACATATTTGTTTCCAAAAAGAACTGGTGCACTGCAAGTAATGCTGCATAGAAACCTCACAACCTTTGTATGTAAATGGAAAAAGTCAACAGCAATTACCAATCCTTGCATTTTTTTTAAAAGGAACACCAAAATTGTTACCCTTAATACCAACAACAGTAATATTTATTTTAGTGAAAAACAAAGGCAGGCTGCTGATTATATTTTAAGTTAACATCTTGATTTTCCCTGCACGTTGTGATCCTTGTATCTAATCACAACATTTTTTTGCCTAAAACTGATCATCCTCGTTTTCAAGTTGTGCTATCTCATCCCCAAGTGACCTTCACTTAGTTCTTGCCATTTTCTTTAAGTTGTGTAGTGGTAGTTATTTCTGAGTGACCTTTTGCCTACAGATAGCTGTTTCTGGCAAAGGCTTCAATCATTCAGCGAGGGATGCCTGGGAGTTATTTCAATCTACTGGAGTGGAGGCTCTTGTTGCCTATGATTGTTCAGGTGCTGTTCTATTGATGGGAACTGTTTTGGGCGGGCTTATTACAGGAACATCCGCGGGGATCTGGACATGGATTAAGTATAGGGACAGAGTGGTTATGGTGGGGTCCACTGCAATGTTGATGGGAATGGTCTTGGTAAGTTTCTTGAATCAGGATCTTTAATTTTGTTCATATTTTCTTGAGAGTAGAATACCTTAGCAAGGATCATGTATTTGCAGGTGGGGATAGCAATGGTGGTAGTGGAAGGTGCCGTTACATCTATTTATATCTGTTATGCAGAAGACCCCTTGTTGATTCACAGGTGGGATGCTGAGTTCTTCAACCAGATGTCAGAGATGCTACACCAGCGTCTTCAACATAGGAGCTCACGAGCGAGGGAAGTGTTAACCCACCATCGCTTTGATAACCACACACAAGAAACACTCCCTGCCTGAAAAGTTACCCGTGGTATAAAATGTACACTGTTATAGGAATCTTTGTCACTCACAGAAGAGAAATGTGATAGGTTTTTGAAGTTATTGGTTAGGGAGAGCTATGTCCAATACCTTCACGGAATTGGATTCAAGTTGAGGTGTGAAGAATGAGACAGGCAAGCAACTTCGTTGTTCTCTCGAGCATTCAATTATTAATCAATATCATATCCAGGTGGAGGTGCTTTGCCAAGGATTTTTCCGGTGATGCATTCGTTACTTCCGCTCCGTTAACCGGATATAGCCATGGAGGTATCACTTGTTTTTGTTGTCCATAACTAGGTTTTTTTGTTTCGGGGCCTCGATTATGTAATTTGTGAATTATCAATTCATGGAAAGAGTACACTTTGATTTGTATCTGTTACATGTAATCAAAGATTGCATGCCTTTATCAAATATATATCTGTGTCTGAAAAATCAAAACATCCAAGTCCAATTTTGGAAAACCAGTTGCGGGCTTACGGCAACATTTTTCTATATTTAGCTCAAGGAAAAAGGAGTCACAAGGGGAGAGACTCTGTTTTCGTCATCAATGCAAACATTACAAAAGCAGTAAACTCCAGAAGCTCAGAAATTGCAGGCAGCATCATTACAGCAAATAAGCTAGAGAGGGAAAAGCTTCTTTTCCTTGTAATAAGGCTGTACTCGACGCCTTCTCCAACTAGTGGCCCGCAATATGGAGGGAAACTTACCTACACTAAAACACCAAACGTGTGATTGTGGTGGTGTCTAAATGAATCATGCATTGTCATGCAGTTTAGCTTTCTTGCATAAGCAATGTGTGATTAATTTGAAATATTTACTTCCATATGCTTTCTGAGGAAGTGTTTGAAAGTGGTTTTCCAACGAGTTTATATTACTTGCTAAATAAACGCTTACGATCATAAGTGTTTCATGTAAGAAGCAAGATCCAAAAGGTCACGTGAGGGGCACACACGTTGCATCACCAACAAGTAGTGTAGAGGGGGGAGAGAGACTTAGGGCTGGTTTGGTATTGCTGTGCTTTGAAAAAAAGTTGCGGTGAGAATAAGTGACTGTGCTGTGAGAATAAGCGGCTGTGAAATAAATCAGCAGAGTGTTTGGTAAATTTTTTTGTAAAAGTGCTTTTGAAAAAAAAAGCAGTCTGATAGTGGGTCTTTTCATTAAAGGAGCACTGTAACTCCATGTGCTTTGAAAAAAAGCTAGTTTTTCAAAGCTGCAAATAGCAGCTTCAGCTTTTTCCTTTGATTTCAGCTTATTCTCACAACAGCTTCCAAAATAAGCCTTTTTTTTTTCAGTTTATCAAACACCTAAAACCCTCACAGTTTTTTTTTATAGGTACTTTTTTTTTTTTTTAAGCACCTCATTTCCAAACCATCCCTTAAAAAGTACAGAGCATCAAGAGATAACACAGAAAAGACCAAAAACGAGCAGCAGAGGGGTGAAAGTGACACGCCATCAAAGTGTACGATTGCCGTATGAAATGCGTCATATTCTTTCGGCTTTGGCACACACAATAAATGTATTGCAAATCCAAATACACAAATTTGTTTATTTACTCACACCCCCACCCCTCAATATATTGACAGCAACAAATGCAGGACAGGGTTCTGCGGTGGTTTCTGTTATGGTGGGTCTGCCACAAACACAGAGGCTTAAGCGCGGCTGAAACTGGAATTGCCTTGCCATTACCAAGAGGTTCCTTTCAAGCAACGCCTTATTTATTAAAATCCCATTAAATCCAAATATTAAAATGCAGGAGGAAAATGCCAAATCTACAAAATATATTTTACTTTTATTGCTTTTTGGCCTCATCTGCAAAATAATCTGAGTTACACATCCCATCATTTTTCGCGCGCTCACACGCTTCCCCATGATTCGTATATTGCAGCTGCAAGACTTGCAGTCCTACAAGTAAAATAATAATTCTATAATCTACAGAGATCGATGGATTAGATAGAAAGAGAGTTTGAGAGACAGAGAGAGAAGAGCGAAGCTTTTCTTATACAAATGAGTGATATTGCGTTGGTATTTCAAGTTAATCTTGTATTGTTGTGTGTTTTAATATAGTTTTACATAGCAAGCAAGTGGCTAGCTTGACATAGTGATTTGAGTTTGGTTGAAGTTTTTCTTGAGAAAGAAAAGAGTTCATCATTGTAAAGAGATGTCGACACTATTCAGGATTTTGAGCATAAAGATTTCATTGACATGTAAAAAGTGAATCTAATCCTAGAGGATATGGCAATACATCTAAGAAATTATTCCATCGAATGATTTCACCCTGGATACGGGAATCAAAAAAGAAAGAAGATGAGTTCTTCTTTCTTTTGTCACTTAGGAGCCGTGAAAGATGAAAGTCTTATGCATGGTTTTGAATGAGAGAAAGAAGTGAGGAATCCTCTTTTCGACTCTGACTCTCCACTCCAGTTGTTGCTTTTCCTCTTGACTTCTACTTATAATGGGAAAAACCTTACCTACGCTTTAGTACCACTATGACAACTTATACCTACGATACAATGACACATATGTTAACTTCTTAACTTAACATTGTATTATTAGTTCAGAATTTCAAAATAACATGTTGGAGTTGTAAAAATCACTCTCATGCAATCGGATGACAAGATTCATGGTAACAATGCCTAATTGGCCTGATTTACCGGCACATATCCATTTCATGAAAGTTGTTATAGAGAAAGAAGAGAGCATCAATGCAAAACAAAGAACTCTCAGCACTACTAGTCTATACACTAGAATAAAGGAACCAGGACGAGACCCTAGAGATAAAGAATCAACAAAATAGGGTCTTATTTTTGTCTTGGGCTGAATGGACAAGTTGTCCGACGCTCCTCCTTAATTTTTATAGATCATTTTCTCGATTTGGGTTTTTCAAAAACATTGAATTTTGCTTTGATTGACAGCAAAAACAGAGCAGAGAATCAGAGATTGTGGGCTTGTAGCGGAGTGAAAAGGCCAAGACTGGAGAGAGTGACAGAAACGCTCCAAAGGGAGAGACTCAGGAAATGCAAGGCGCTCTCTCTCTCTCTCTCTCTCTCTCTCTCTCTCTGTGGCTCTGGGGTATTGGGAAGCTAAAATCCCAAGTCAGAAAGCAATAATAAAAAGCCTGGTGTTTTAAAATTTATTAAGAAGGGAGTCCTGATACGCTATCCTCCTCTTAAAGCACACCAAGATTTTGTTCACTTCACTCACCCTTCTGCGATATCTCTCTCTCCCCATCTTCTTCTTCTCCAACTGTAAAAAGTTGTATGAGATCATCTTGTTTTACCTTTTCTTTGTTCTAAAGTGATACAGGCAGAAAGAATCACGACCCAATCAGAAAAAAAGATGCAGAGCTTCAAAGCAGCTTCAACAAACCCAGAGTTCTACTCCCACTCGTCCTTCTATTTCAGGTTTCTCTCTCTCCTCTGCTTACTGTTTTTGTTTTAATGGCATATGAGAACTGGGTTGTGGGTAAAAAACATAAAAGTCTTGAAATTTATGAAAGTATGCAGATTTTCAGCAGTAAAAATAACCCAGTTGCTCTGTTTTTTCCGGGGTGTGAAAAAACAGGGGAGACGACAGTGACCGGAACCAAACGCGTTTTGCGGATCTTGGAGAGCTTGAACAGTCCGCTACCGCCTTCCCTCCGGATGATGCTGTTGTTTTAAGCCCAAGTATCCTCTCTCTCCCTCTCTCTCCTCATTTCTCTCTCTCTCTCTCTCTCTCTCTCTAATATGTGGGTTTTAATCAGGCGCAGGCTCCATGTTCAGCTTAAAAGCAAACAATGTTAGTGTTGTACCTGATGGCTTGCACTACGGTGCGTTGAACGTTGGGGGTTGTTTGGACATAGGCTCAACCATAACCGGAACAGGAGGAGGAGGAGGGGGAGGGTGTGTGGACACAGTACAGCAGCAACCATACATGTACCAGCAGCAGAAAGGAAGGCCGTCGTCTGGAAATGGACACTTTGAGAATTGGGGTGATAATTCAGCCATGGCTGACAACAGCCAGCAGACTGACACTTCAACGGATGTTGACACCGATGACAAAAACCAAGTATCTCCCTCTCTCTCCCTCTCCCTCTCTCTCTGGTCTGTTTCATGAGCATATTTCTGCTACTATACTTTTTCATGGGAATCTTTCTATAGGCTAATGGAATTGAGAATCGTTTGAAGTTTGGAATTTTGGACTACCATCGTAGTCTCGACTATCGAGCTGTGTGCTCCGAATCTCCCTCTCGTATATTAGAGCTATTTAGATTAACGCTTTGTCAGTTAAAAAAGAGCTTCCAAAAGGCTTTCAATTCAATTAGTACCTTAAATAATGTAACAGGGACCACCTCTAAACTGATTTGCTTTGAATCTGCCTAATTTTGCCCCGTAAACTTCATTTAGCTTTCTAATTTTTTAGTTCAAGTGGATTAATGTGAAATTATGATCTTGTGTTAGCTTCATGGAGTGCAGCATGGAGCACTAGTGGTAGTGGATTCCATGGAGCAGGCAAAGGAAAGAACTGGTGACCAAAAGGTTAGAATATTTAGATTAATAACCAAAGTTATTTCATTAAAAAGTAATTTTCTATCTTAAATGCTAATCCGATTAAGCTAACTTATCTGCAGACGCTACGTAGGCTGGCCCAGAACAGAGAAGCAGCAAGGAAGAGTCGACTAAGGAAGAAAGTATGCATCTTTACTTTCCATAAGCACATATTTGAGTGTCATTTTCTTTAAAATTTCATCATCTCTAACTCTGATAGTCCGTGACATCTTAACACGAATAATGTATCGTCATGTGAAAAAGTTAAAACACATGAGATCACGTTATTCGTTTGACGTGCCACAGTGGCATACCGGGTGTAGGTCAGGAACCTAGTGTATCAATCTATTAGCTCTGTATGTTGAGACATAAAATCTTGGTGTAGACTTGCCCTGAAGATTCACTGCCAGGCCTATTACATTTAGGTTTGCCTTAAATGCTTCTCAGCCTTCTCATTCTCTTTGATAGCAAAGGCTTATTTTTTTTAACCTACCTCCCCTTTTTCACTTCTCATTTGGTTGGTTTGACCCTTTTAACCATTTACTTTCTGCTCCCTTCCTTTAATTTTCTTACCTTTGGTACCCTCCCAGTTAATTGATGTTCTCCCAAAAATTTAATGACCCTCTGCAACCTTGAACTGTTGAATGAAAAAGTTGCATTGTCTTAAGTTGATGAATGAAACATACTTGGATCATTTATAGGTTTTGGTTTTGGATACATAGGCATATGTCCAGCAGCTGGAAAATAGTCGACTTAGGCTTTCGCAGCTGGAGCAAGAGCTTCAGCGAGCCCGCCAGCAGGTGAACGACTTTGTAGTTTTCATCAGTAATATGTGCGTGTGTGGGTATACATATATATAATTATTCGTCTCTTGCTGGTGTTTCAACGCAGGGTATATTTATTACAAATGGACTTCCAGGGGATCATGGTCATTCAGTGGCAGGAAATGGTATATGTTATGTCAGTTAGATCCATGAAACTTGTAATTAGTAATGGTAATTAAGGAAATTGATTCTTAAAATGCAGTTAAGGTTTTACAATTTCTTGTGTCTTGAATTCAATGAGCAATCTTTTGTAATTCGGAGTAACTTGTAGGTATATGGTATGATATTGGATGAGCATGCCTTGATCCAATGGTTTCTGATAACTGATTGTACATGTCAGGGGCCTTGACATTTGACTTGGAGTATGCACACTGGCTTGAGGAACATCAGCGGCTAATACATGATATGCGATCAGCTGTGAATTGCCATATGGGAGATAATGAATTGCGGATTCTCGTTGATAGTGTAATGACACATTATGATGAGATATTCAGGTTGAAGAGCATCGCTGCCAAGACTGATGTGTTTCACATGCTCTCTGGCATGTGGCAGACGCCCACTGAAAGGTGTTTTATGTGGTTGGGTGGATTCCGCTCCTCCGAACTTCTCAAGGTAATCATCTATAGATTTCGTTTTCTAAGTTGTGTATACACTTTCACTGTTGGCCTATCTGTAATCGTGTTTTTATCGTTGGATATTCAGATACTTGGGAACCACCTCGAGCCCTTAACAGATCAACAGTTGATGGGAATATGCAATCTGCAGCAATCCTCCCAACAGGCTGAAGATGCCTTGTCACAAGGAATGGAAGCTCTACAACAATCTCTTGTGGAGACACTTTCCTCGGCGAATCATTGCCCCACAGGTTCTGGTAATGTCGCCGACTACATGGGCCAAATGGCAATTGCTATGGGAAAGCTGGCCACACTTGAGAATTTCCTTTACCAGGTAACGGTGCTCGCTTATGATTTCTTATGTACATTGGATGTACACAAAAACTAACTCGCACACTTTCTTACTTGTTAGGCTGACCTTTTGAGACAGCAAACTCTGCAACAATTGCATAGGATTCTGACCACTCGCCAAGCAGCTCGTGCCCTTCTTGTCATCAGTGACTACTTCTCTCGTCTCCGAGCACTAAGTTCTTTGTGGCAAGCGCGTCCTAGGGACTAATGTTTATCACTCCCAGCTCGACTCGCTTTAGGAATTACGAAAAATTAAATCTGCTATTTCCCCAGTATTAGTAAACCAGCTCCAGTGCTGAGACCATGAAGATGGTTAACCATCAAAAATGTAAATCAGGCACTTGAGACCCCGTTCCCCCCCTGCATATGATGCTTTTCCAAATGTCAAAGATTAGGAAGGGTTCGGATGGTGATTGTCTAACATGTAATTAAGTAATTAAGTAAAAGAATGTCTTCTTTGGCAAGGGTGAGTGGATGTATACTAATTTAACATTATGCTTACGCTAATCTCATCAGATTGTCAGTGGGGACTGACGACTGAGCATTTTTGGAGATGTTGACGAACTGGCAAGTTGTTCCCTTCCTTGGCTTTTACGCAGGTCTCGCCTAATATTTAAAGGGTAATGATTTGCATTATCTCGTTGTCTCCTTTGACGTTTTTTTTCTTATAATAATTTATCCGATTCATCTTTTCCAGATCTTGCGTAAAACGGGAGCCTTGTGCATTGGGTACGATCAAAAATAATTTATCCGATTCAAAAGCTAAAAAAACTAAAAGAATTGCATGAGAAGAAAAAGAGAGTATGGAAATTACTGTTCAGGTTTTATCTTGCAATTTGAACTTGATGCAACTGAATAATGTGGCATTCTTAGTGTTTTGTTTTGTCATTTGACACATGATGCTTGCAGTGCTTTTACTGCAAAATGTTTTGCCCATCGGTAATCTGTTCTGTTTTGAAAGGGGCCGCGACATTATTTGAGGTTAGCATACTTGTGCTCATGAGTGCTTGATCAAGTTCTCCACTCGCTTGTAAGTTTTTCTTCTGTCGTTCATCCTTCCTGCCGTACACCAGCCAAAAATTAGTCACTGACGAATTAAAATTGAATAAAATCTGTTTTTTCTTTCTGGGAAAAGACTAAACTAATTAAGAAAGGATTAGAGTGCTTACTTGGCCTGCAATCTCTTCTGGATTTTACAGCTTGTGGTATAAAAACTCCAGTCCCAGTCACATCGCTATTTTCCCACAACTTCGCAAGAGAAGCTGGCACTGCATAATTAGTACTGTTCTTATTTTCCAACCAACTTATATATCCAAGTGATGATGACATACTGTGACCTGCAGGACGTTTGGTGACATTACTGCGAAATGAGTTATATTTCGCGCTTTTCGCGTCCGGAAAATCTTCATTGTCTGCAGTCAAGGCCAAAATCTGCCTTCTAATCTCGGCGAAAAAGATATCATCATCGTCGACATAAGCACTTTCATCCTCGAATGCAAGATTAGCGTTTGTGTGAATGTCCATGTCGAGTTATTGATAAAGAGTTCTGAAATCAAAAGTGCTTTTTCGTTTTCGGATTCCTGATCAGGAAATGGTGAGTTGGGTTGCTGAAGGGAAGAGTTTGGGATTTAAATAAGTAGTTTGAGAGAGATCGAAGAACACAAAATACTTTGTTTGCGGTCAAAAATGGATATAGATGCAGAAATGCTGATTTGCATATTATCTTACTGCAAATGAATCCAAGTTCATGAATATGTCATGCACGTACGTTAAGAACATGTCTATTCGTTATGCTTGTTAAATTCGTCTGCACTGTTCATGAGTAGATAATGAGGATGACTAATGACAATTAACTATCTTTAATTAGCAAGTTTAGGGGCTTGAATTGGTGTAGAAGTTTTCTTCTAATTAATTAATTAATTAATTAATCTAATTCAGATTTCACTTTTCGTAGTTTAGATTAATTTAAAACAGACCATCACTTGTATTTTAAAAATAAATCTTCATAAAATTTGCCTATCAAAAGATATCCATATAATATTGAACGTAAACGAAGGTAAAGGTCAATTATGAGTATCGGTTTGCTATGGTATGTGCGCATAATTGGATGGTCAACATTTGTTCAAGTTTAGCAACATTTTGCCACAAATTGGACAGAAGCACAAAGGGACAAAAATTGGTAGCTTGATTAGATACGAACGAGCCCTAATTCGAAATCTACTCCCCTCCCAAGGGTTATCTTGATTATGGGCATGGTTTGTTGAGGTTTATTAGTTGTTGGTGGGTTGGGGCCGTTGATCTTAAGGGTGTTGTTTTTCTTGATTGATTCACGGCGGCGCCACCCTTACGTGGCCAGGTTCATATGGCAGCTTCGCTTGGTTTATAGGAGTAGCAGAACTTGCAGATGTTGTACCATCTTAGGTAGAGAGGACTTGGGCGGTGGAGATAAGTCAACGGTGGACACCGTTATCGGATTAGTGTAAGTTTCGTATGTACAGTGTTTAACGGGTAATGTCTTGTCTAGCGAGTGATGCGGCCTCGCTTGTTAATGATGGTTTTTGTGGTCTCGCTTGACGGCAATGACATTGTATGTGCCTCAATATAAGTCTATTGCACATGCTGTCTTTGTGGTAGAGTTTATAGAGGTGCTTGTGGTAGCTGTTAGAAAGTTTACAATTTATTTTTATTTGTGCAAATTATCTCCAGATCAGTGCACTGACACTAGGGAATGCACTCATATGGAGACCATTATAATTGTGTTCATGTGTCTTAATAGAAATAACAATCACTTCTTGGAAAAAAAATATATGAATTTATAGACTGGTAGAAGCACTATTTGAAGGCCCCAACAAAAAAGATACAGTTAAAATTACAATTTTACAAAGTACCAGGGAAAAAAAGGAGCATCAGCAACAAGCAAGCACATAATATATATACACACACATGTTTTTTGGTAATCACATATACAGTAATAATAATAAACATAGAGAAGGACTAACATACAATCAATAAACGAAATTTATGTCAAAGCAGTAATGTTTGATAGTCATCGTTCAACAATATTGAAGCAGAAAATGACTTGGTTGGACTTGATATTGAGTGGCGCCCCCCCTCAAGAGAACCCGCTTGCCATCTTGCAATTGTGTATTGGTCAAACTTGTCTCATCCACCAAATTTTGGACAAACCAAAAGAAGAAGAATTCCCAAAGCTCCCTGATTACTTTCTTGCGAATACAAGTTACAGATTTAGGGGTTGGAGTCGATGATGATGCTAATAAGCTAAATGATTTCCATGGGTTGAAGATGGCCAACATAGCAGATACTTTGTGCGTATAAGAAATTGAAGCAATATATTGGGGCTAAAGGGAAAAGGTGCTTGGATGGCTGATGGAGAAAACCAAAACAGGTTACAATTGGTGATTGAGACAAGAGGGTGTCAAACATGTTCAATAAGTATGCTTGGATGCGTATGTATCATACGAAGAATCAAGAGCTTCAAAATGAAGTAGACACTGAGCTAGTTATAGTTTTTGTCTTTGCTTATAAAAAGGTGATTTGGAGCAATTATTCGCTAACCATGGTTGAACTTGAACCTATTTGCTGGGAAGATTAGGGGTGTGTTCGGAACCAAATCAGTTCGGTTCGGTTTTTTCCATGAAAATTGTTAAAAAAAAAAAAAAAACTGGGCAGTCAAGCGCAGATACCTGATGAGGGATTTGATTCTATGACTGATGATAGGAAGTGGGGTGCTCGCATGACAAAAGCAAGCTTGGTTCCTCCTGTTACGATGCAATATGAAGTTATTGCGGAATATGTTATTGTATCCAATGAGGAGAATGTGAAACGGAAAATGCAGGTATCCTTACCAGATGATTGTGTTGAGAAACTTACTGAAGAATGGAACTGAGGAGTCGGATATGGAGCTTCCCGAAGTAAAGGATTACAAGCCAAGGAAAATGCTTGGAGATGAATTTATAGAGCAAGAAGTTTATGGAATTGATCCCTATAGCCACAATCTTTTACTTGACTCCATGCCAGAGGACTTCGACTGGCCTCTTGGGGAGAAGCATATGTTTATTGAAGATGTGCTCCTTCGCACATTGAATAAGCAAGACAGGCGGTACTACACCGGGAAGTTGGGAACCATAACAGAATGAAGGTTCGGCTAGGGAGAGAAAAAAACAGGGGAGAGAAGAATGAAGGTGCGGCTGGAGTCCAGGAGAAAGAAATGAAAGGGAAAAAAGAAACGGAAAGAAAAAAGATTGAGAGATGGTAAAGTGCGGCTAGGATGAAATAAAAGAAAGAGGAGGAATAATAGGTTAAGGTTTAGAGTTGTAAAAGCATGTTTTAATATTTTGGGCTTAAGGTTTGGTAACATATTGAGCTTAGCATATTTGGGCTTACAAATTGGGTTTAGAAAATAATACCCAAAGATAATTAAATAAAATAAATATTAATTTAATTAATTTGGTTCGGTTCGGTTTAATTTTTTCGGTCTCGATCGGTGTTCGGTTCGAATTTTTTCGGTTTTCGGTTTTTTTTAACCCACACCTAGGCAAGATTAGGAGGTCTATGAATGTTTTTTGTTCTTGGTCAATTTCAAAAGATTGTTGTGATGAAAAGCCTTCTTTTTAATCACTTTCAGAGATCTTACATATATAACATAGTTTGTAATGTCTTTCTTATTAAGAAAATACAGTTGAATCTTACATATATAACATAGTTTGTAATGTCTTTCTCATTAAGAAAATACAGTTGAACTTTCTCACCCTTACATTTCTCTTTTGATCTCTCCCTCTCTCTAAAGGTTCATCTTCTTCATAGCTAAATACTTTTGTCATGGAGCACCACAATCAGAAGCTGCTTCCAAAATAGGCAAGCCATTCCATTGGTGAAATAGCGTACCTCTCTGGCAGCTTTCTGGCAGCTTTCTTCGACTGAGGACTGAGGACTGAGGACTCCAAGATTCGAAGCGAAGACGACTCGGGCTCACGGAAGGCTGACGGCTGATGGATGAGAGCAACTACATCCCTAAAAATTGTGCTGGCACCCAGCCATTTAATCTACTTAATTAACAGTGATTGATCCCAATCAACAATTAATTGGCCCAATGCAATGAACAGTTAATTGGCCGAATGCATCTCCACCTGTAAAAAATGCGCTGGCACAAATGCATCTTCATCCCTACAAAATGCACTGGCACCCAGCTCATTTAAAATTTTTTTTTATAAAATAATAATAAAAAAATTAGTTTTAATTTCGGATAGGATTTTTAACCAATCTTGTCAAACCACGTGTCATTATCCGAAAGTACTATTTTGTGAATAGATTTTCAATAAGATTTTCAACCAATTCCGACGTGTCACGTGTCACTATCTGTTTACAATAATTTAGCTAAGATTTCGATCAGATTTTCAACCAATCTTGTCACGCCACGTATCATTATCCGAACGTACTATCTTGTGAATAGATTTCCGATAAGATTTTCAACCAATCCTGACGCGCCACGTGTCATTATCTGTGTACAATAATTTAGCCAAGATTTCGATAAGGTTTTCAACCAATCTTGTTAAGCCACGTGTCATTATCCGAATGTACTATTTTGTTGATAGATTTCCGATAAGATTTTCAACCAACCAATAAGATTTTCAACCAATCACGACGTGCCACTTGACTACTTCTTATGCGATCTCTCAGCCTATCACAAAACGCTTCAGTAATTATACTCCATATTTCTCGCAACTCCATCTCATTACTCGTAAAAGGGTCATGAGTAATTTGAACCCAGCATTGACACAATGTAACATCTTCGATGAGCTTCCACATAGCCATTTTTTCCACACAAAAAAAATAATATGAAAGCTTTGGTTGAAAGTGTTGAAAATATTGAAATGTGATGTAAGGTGGAAGATGATGGTTAGGTATTTATAGAAAAAAAAAATTTATTTTATTTTTTCTGTATTTTTAAACAATTTTTTATTAATTTTTATTAAGTTAATAAATTTGGACTATTGGATTTGAAAAAAATTCAAATCCAACAACCCAAATGTGGACACGTGGCAAATGGTCATATTTTTTACTGTTTGGTATTTTTTTTCATTTTTTGGTCGAAAATCGTGGACCATTGATCTCAGGATTGGACAACCCATAACGCGCCACGTCACTAGCCGTTGGATTTGAATTTCAAATTTTTTTGACCGTTGGAAATCCAACGGTCCAAAAAACTAGTTGTTGGAAATCTAAGAAGGCTTTACCTATCTCTTCCTTTATTAAATGACAAACCTGACCAGCATATGATTAAACTCAATTTTGATGGTTCAGTTTCGAACAACCGTGCTGCTGCTGCTTTTGTGCTCTGTAACAGTAAATCACAAGTGATTGGGGCGGGGGCTCTTAATCTTGATGGCACTACTATTTCGGTAGCAGAAGCGATGGGTTTGCGAGAAGGGCTCTAGTGTGCTAGGTGCAAGGGTTTCACTAAAGTGATGGTGGAGGGGAACTCTAAGCTCATCATTGAAGCTATGCAGGGTCATTGGGGAATTCCTTGGAGAGTCAACTCTATCATCAATTATATTCGTATCCTAGCTCGGTCTTTTAGTCAAGTTGACTAGAAGCACATTTTCAGAGAGGCAAACTTTGTTGCGGATGCTTTAGCTCACCTTGGTCTGTAACTCTTGAATTCTCATTATTGGGATTTCTGTTTACCTGATGTTGCTTTTCATGCCTTTAATTTTTATTTTTGAACAAACGATATCATCTACACTAAGAGGAAGGGGTAGGTTTAGCCTCACAATGGGCTAGCAATAATGTGGTTCAAATTCGCCTTTGGCGAGAATCGAACCTAAAGCCTCTCACTTACAAGTGAAGAGAAATACCACTAGACTGAAGTACTAAGTGGCTTCATGCCTTTAATTTTGATTGTATTGGAAATGGTTGTACTAGAGGCTTCGTGCTTTAATGAATTTCTTTGCATAAAAAATAAATAAAAAATAAAAAAAAAACAATCTCCGCAATCCGCCCACAGGTGATGCATGGAAGAATAAAAACTTCAGACCATCAAACTGTATATTGCAATTTGGGCAACTCCTGTGGGCATTCTTGACCTTTAGTGGCCGATACATTTATTGCTTTTATAAGTTCGGCTTAAAATAACTAAAAGAAGAAGAAAAAAAAAATACTGGAACCAGAGTCGTCCACAATTTTCAGGGGTCCATTCACGCTTGTGTAATTCACTACCAAAAATATAAAACACACCCGTTGGGTGCTTAAGTGTAATCCGTTCATACGAAGAGGCATGTACGTTGAATAAGACAATATGTCTGTTGATGAAAACTGACAAACACACACACACACACACACACACACACACACACATATACATACATACATACATACATACATACATACATACATACATACAGTGATCATCGCTCGATTTTCAAGAGTACCATATGGGCATGGCTAAGTTAGAAAGAGAGTCAATGCGGCCGCCATCCCCATCAGTGCCGCCTCTAACAACCACTGGCATTCCGCTTAACCTAATTAGCACCTGTACTTCTGCTTCCCCGATGGCTTGGTCCACCGGGCTCTGCAATTGTTGTGGTGATGTTAGCAGTTGTAAGTGCATCTTATGCATTATTTTTAATTATTTCACTCATAACTTATGCCAGATCATTGTATTAAGGGTAAACCTATGTTATCATTTTATTTCTCTTTACTTTATTTCCCTTTACTATTTATTGCAAAAGTAAGATTTTTGAACTTTTGGAGTTTTATGATAAAGAAAACATTAATCCTAATATTCTATTCAATAATTCTATCAATTTTTTAATACTCAGTTATACATGGCACAAGTTTTGTTTATACTTTTAGATAATCAAATATTTCGTAATTTTCTAGGTTGCTTGACGTGTTGGTTTCCATGTGTAACATTTGGACGCATTGCAGAAATTGTGGATAGGGGATCAACTCGTAAGTTTATTAAGTATATTTTGTATTTTTACCATGATGATCTCTTAATTTTGTTACTACTACTACGAACTTGCTTACGCAAAAGAATTAATGAAATGAGCATATTTATGCGCACGATTGCATGCATGCAGCTTGTGGAGTGAGTGGAACTCTTTACAGTTTGATGATGTGCTTGATGGGTTGCTCGTGTTTGTACTCGTGCTTCTATAGAACCAAATTGAGAGGACAATATTTCTTGGAGGAGAAGCCCTGCACGGATTGCTGCGTCCATTTTTGCTGCGAGGCATGTGCTTTGTGCCAAGAGTATAGACATCTTCAGAACCAGGGCTTTGACATGTCCATCGGCTGGCACGGCAACGTTGAAAGGCAGAGACGACTGGCTCCAACATCAATGCCACTACATCCACAACTTTATGCAGCAGGCATGACGCGCTAGCTAATTGCATGTACTCCTTGCTGTGAGTTTGAGGTAGACTAAGTACGAGAAAGAACAATTGGAAATGCTTGCTCTAGAGTTGGAAAATAATTCCATGTACTCCTTGCTGTCGCAAATAGTAGTCTATTATATTTGAATGACTTTTTGTTATTATTAATTGTCTCGGCTCCTCTCGTATTATCTCTTATTAATTAAAAGAAGATTTGATTAATCAGTTACTTATTCTAATCGGATTTAGTTCAGATTTCGTCCTAATTTGGTTATTTTATTACGCGCCGGTGAAGTTTAGTTTGTGTTCATTGCTCTACATTTTTCTTTTTCTCTTTTCTGTTCTTCCACCAAATTTGGAGAGATTTCCATCGTAGCATCATCATCATTCGTATGGTATTCATTGTCTCTCTTTTTTGTCGCTGGATATGTGTGTCGTTTTTTATGTTTGAAGTTGTATATATATGATAAGTACGAACAGGGATTCAAGGGTACAGCACTGAGCGGTGTATATATGCGTGCCCTCATTTTGAGTGGGATGGAGGTGTAAGGAGTAATTTGAAAATCAACAAGTTACTAGGATCATAGATATAACAAATATAATTACAATAAATTAATCAAACAATTAAAGGGAAATAAACTTATCTTCCAAAGAGAAGGAAGAAGAAGCGATGATGCTAGGGTTTCAAGGAGGAACTTCTATACTCTGGCAGCTGAGAGTCCTTGTGCACAGAAAAAGGGTTTTGCATTAGAATAGGATGATTATTGTAAATGCAAGGCCCTCTTAATATATAGATGCTCATCCCTGTAATCCGGCCTATTAACTTATTAAAGGATATTCCAAGAAACAGTAAGCACATGTTGTTTGACACTCACAATTTATAGGAGGTGTTATCATATATGACCTCATTCCGGTCACCAATTCATTAACTTTGATTTATTTATTTATTTTTTAATCAGAACCTTAAAACCCTCCTTAATCTACCTACTCTAGTCATATTTAGTCTGTTAATGTACCTACTCTAGTCAGATTTAGTCTTGATTATTTGATTGCTTTCCAGTTTAGTTTAGTGTGAACCTTATTTATTTGACCTAAATTCTTTTCTTCCATCTCGCCCTTCTGTTCAAACTTATTTTTCATTTTTCTATCAACTCGCTTGGTTTGGGAGAGGATCCATCGTCTATATTCCGGGCACCGTCATCAGGTACTTGTTGGTTGCATCTTCAATACAAATACTCGTATTTACAAATTCTATTTTGTTTTAGTTTTCCTGTTTGGATAGGATCATCATAGATCGATCGATCAATAAGTCCGTGCTCGGTAGGGGATAGTCACGGGCGAGTGCTGTTGTCTCTTGTGATTGGGAACCCTCCTCAATTAGTTAATCAGCGTTGGGTTTATGATATTTTAAATATTTACGAATGCGTTTTGATATCTGACCTTGCAGGACAGTTTTTAAATAGACCTGCAGCTTGGGCTGGTTGTGGCTGGACTTTGATCTGAATTTAGAGCTGTGGTTTCCTGCGGATAACGTAAGAATTGAAGCCGAGTATTGTCTTTTCTTTTCTGACGTGGGAATTTTCAATTTTCATTCATATTATTCTTGGTGGAATCGTTTTGCATTCTTTAGTTGTGAATGTGAACTCGTGTCATTATAACTTTTATTCACGGTTCTGGAGTTGCTGTGATTAGTCAATGAATATTTGTTATCTCGTCTTGCAGGCCATCGTTACTAATTGTTGTTTAAGTTGTTGGATTGTGAATAACTACTGATCAGAATGGAAAAGCTTCAAAATGATCTTGAGACTTGTAAGAGCAATATCGAGAGATGGAGGATCAGAAAACTGATCAAGGAACTTGAACCCGCATATTTTTTTGGCTTGATTTCTATCATCATTCCTCCCATGAAAACAATGTCCAGTGTTACTGAGTGGCTGGCGAATCATAAAATTCGAATGCTTTCAGACCTTGAAAGTGGTTCTGAATTGTTTAAAGGTATACGTATGGCTAGGTCTGATGCATGTACGTAAGCTCAGGAAGTCCTCGAGGGTTGCAAGTAGGGATGGGCAATGGTTATAGTGGGCGGGTAACCGCAGTTATTTATCTATAACCGTTTATTTTCATACCCGTATAACCGTTTACCTGTTGGGTAATTGTCTAAACGGTTATACCTATACCCATAACCGTTTATAAACGGTTAACCATACCCATAACCATGTACCCATTTAACCGTAATCGTTTACCCATTTATCATTTTTAAACCCGTTTATCCTTTCTTTTTTACCATTTACTCTTTTTTCACCCGTCTACATGTTTTTTTAACAACTTGAAAATTAAAAAAGAAAAATTTGTCATAATTTTGTTTTTCCAACAATTAAACACCGTTATAGGTACATTCATCATACATTTCCGCATTTTAATTTTTTAAGTCCGTATACCATTCCAATAATTGAAATATTTACAGACAATATTTTTACCTGTTAGCAATGAAGGTAATATAAAATTTGCTAAGTATTCTTGGGTTACAAAAACTGTTAAAAGACAGTATTCTTGGGTTATTTGACTCGGAATGTAAAATATTGACATAATATATATAATGGACCATGAAATTTAAAGTGGTTAAGGAAAACTATATTATATTAGCTATAGAAATCATGCGCTATAGTCAATAGCTTTGATCTAAGTTTTGTCTGATAGGTAACATGGTTTGTGTTAATTTTACATATATAAAATAAATGGGTAAATGGTTACCTGTTTATAACCAAGGTTATAACCGCCCATTTAAATTTCGCAGGTAAACGGTTATACCCATAACCGTTTATTTTTATAAACGGTTACCCATAACCGTTTATTTATATAAACGGTTACCCATAACCGTAACCATGAAATTTAAATAGGCGGGTAACCGCGGTTACCCATAACCAATGAGTATTTGCCAATCCTTAGTTGCAAGCAGGTTCCTCGCAACGGGCTTGTTCTGTACACAGGAATAGTTATAACTTGTACTAAAAGTCGTGAAGTTGAAAGCTTAAAAGGGGTAAGAATTATTTTGAGCCTTTTATGCCCATTGACAAAAAGAGGTTTTGTTTCGTTGTTGACGTTAGCTTTCATATTCAAGTTCTTAATGACCTCGTGGAATATCCCGATGACAAATATGGTTTCATTATCATGGATGATGAGCGGACACTTTTTGGGAAGCTAAAGGGTAACAGAAGCCATGTGATTCGTAAAATTAGTGTTGAAGGTAGTGGGCACTACCATGTTAAGAAGGCAGAAAAACTTGCCAAAGAGTTTTTTAAGGGCCTAGTGTTGAATGATTTATCAGACTTAAGGTCGAGACGTTGGCTACGCAAGAAAAAGCTGACGGAAGTGGAGATTGATCATGCAAATGAGGAGGGTTTGGAGCAGGCTTAAGTTGTCCGAACTTAAATTTTATAGGGAGAAGAAATTGTTAGACAAATATCTTAAGGAGATTGTTGATGGACCTGAAAATGGTACATATGGTGCAGAAGACACAATAACAGCGTTGGAGGAGCGTGCTGCTGAGACACTCATTGTATGTGATAGTTTGTACATCATTAGGTATGTGTTCAAAGACATCAATACTGATGAGACTGTTGTAAAGTATTCAAAAGAGGGGGAGTTGTTGTGCCGAGTTTATGGGGGCATTGGAGCAATTATTCGAGGCCCCGACTCGCTTTGCTTGAACCTGTACGCTTTTAACCTTGCTAAAAGATTGAGAACCAGCGCTTTGACATGTCCAAAAGCTGGCCCGGATGACCTGCACAATCACTTTTTGGTTAAGTTGGTGTTGCGATCTCCAAGTAGGCTAGCTCCAATTAAGTTGGTGTTACTGTCAACTTTACCTATATTATTAATTTTACATTTTCTAAGTTGAAGTCAAATTTGACTTTTACATTTTCCTCTAAAGTCAAATTTGTTCATGCCTGTTTATACATAGTATATTTTTATTGTGATGATAATGATTCATGCCTTGAAGTTTTAAGACCATATAATGTTGATTGCGTCTCGTTACTGTAATTAATTTGGAACATTTATCTTTTTTATTTTTTGGATTAGAATATGTTAAATTTCCTCCGTCGTGTGGACTTGAATATTAAAAAGCAATTTGTATTTTGAATGTACTATTATGATTATTTTGATAGGCATTAATTTTTTAATTACTCTATATCTTTAAATTTAAATATTTTGTTCTGGGGCGAGGCCGGAATATGGTTCCTGTGGTGGATATGGGGAGACCCCAATTTAAAATTAAGAAACTTTAATGAAAAGCCTCCGATACTGTTCACTTTAACGAAAAACCACATTTTTACACTAAAAAGTCAATCTTGATATTATTCAATTTACTCTTTATTTTGTCCTTATCGTTAAAACTCAAAGTTTTCAAACTTTTTTCATTAGTTTTCCTTTAAAATTACAGGTATGAATGCGGGACATTGATCTAATTTGTAATTAAGGGACCAAAGTGAGTAGTTTGTTCGAGAACCTATGTAATCTATCAACTAATTGGTGGGACTGCGTGTATTTAAATACTTATTTCTGGTGGAAATGCTTGCCGTGAGTATCATTGAAAGCATCCAATTGCTCTGTGTTGTTAATGCTAATAGGGAAGAAGAAGCACTGCTTAGAACCTGTATAATATGCAGTAAAAATAGTTAGTTTCTTTACAAATTTATGACTTGAAACCATATTAATCCCTATCCATTTCAAAGTGAGTGGCTAACCCCAAAAAAATCAAGCGAACCTTGTCCAACACATAGATATAGGGTGCATGAATGTCAATCAATTATGTAACACTGTCAAGTCAAAAGCCAACTTTGCCAAACACATAGATAAAGCGTGCATGAATGTCAATCAACTATGCAACACTGTCAAGTCAAATGGCTTTATATATGTGTCCTCTACTAATAATCGAGAGAAGCACATTCCATGGACGTCCTGAAAATGAGGGGGAGGGCCGGAGGGGCTTCTGCAAGCAGCTTCTGGTTGTGGATGATCTGCTTTTGCTTTTGCTTTGGTGGATGCATTATATATAATGTCCTAAACAGTTCCCGTGATGAATAGATTGTATTGGGAGACAATAACAAAAGTTAGTGCTTTTGACTCCCACTATAGTCCCCAATGTTTTAGCATTGTTTATGAAAAATGTCAACAATGTCATGCACACATTCTAAAAGCAAAGCTGTTTCGAAGATCATGCATCTGTATAATATATAGATAAGATATTGATTTTTATACTCATTTTTATCTTACGTGCTATTTCGCTTATTAGTATCTATTTTTTTATTTACTCTATTCAGAGATCGAAAAAAAATTAAGATAGAAAGGAGGAGTACGAAAATTACTTCCATAAAAATGGTGTGCGACTTTATGATTGATGGTATGTACAAGCATGATTCCTCTAATTGCGTTTTAACTTTAATCCTATGTTAGTAATGGTAACTAATATGTAGTGATTAATGGATAGGTCACATTCCACGAACACTTGAGCACTAATGGGAAGGCTGTATTAAAATAAAATGTGCTTAATTAATTAATCAACAATTATATATACTACCCAACAGAATCGAGACCCTCTCTACATTTCGTAGTTCAGAGCCTACAAACTTAGAAATTCGGACCACTCATTTTAAATCTTTTGACACCCATTAGCCCATCTCGTTGACCTACCTCACACAAACCAAGAGTTCACATCTCGGTCCCTCTCTTAAACGGCCTAAATTTCTTAATCCGTCTGCTCCAGACTGCAAGATTCAGATAGGATTTGAATTCTACCCACTCCCATCCCATGGCCCTACGTTACAGTAGATCCACGTTTAGACACGTGGAACTGGTCCCAATTCTCCACTTGGGAGGACAAGATAGATTCATCGATCTCCCTTCTGAATACCTAAATTTAGCTTTGGCCTTCACTTTCATATTCTATTTAAGGAACTGCTTAGTCACAAACTTTTGTACTGAACCCTAAAATTTATTCCCAAGTTTTCACTTCTCACTAGGCAGCTACCTCTCCACGTACGTTTTCCATATATTTTCACATTCTTCGTATGAGAGCAAGGAGATCACCAATGGCTGCTATCACCTTAGACACAACTTTCAAGCCAACAACCAACGAAGTACTCGACTCCCCTCATGATCAACAATATGAGACTGTGATCGAGGAAATTGAAGGGCTTATAAAAGTGTACAAGGATGGACACGTGGAGAGACCTCAGATCGTGCCATGTGTCACAGGCGCAGTAGCTCCGGAGCTAGGCGTGACATCGAAGGACGTGGTCATCGACAAGTTCACAAACATCTGGTCACGTTTCTACGTGCCCAAATGCCAAGAAAATAACAAGATGAAGCTCCCTTTGCTAGTATACTTTCATGGAGGTGGGTTTTGTGTTGGCTCAGCCGCTTGGAGTTGTTACCATGATTTTTTAGCAAAGCTAGCCTCCAAACTCGGTTGCTTAATCATGTCGGTAAATTACCGATTGGTCCCTGAACACCCTCTCCCAGCTGCATATGAAGATGGATTCAACTCCATCATGTGGCTGAAACAACAAGCTCTAAGTCAACGTGGAGCTAATAATAATAATACATGGTGGTCAACGCAATGTGACTTTTCCAGAATCTTCCTGGTGGGTGATAGTGCGGGTGCCAATATAGCCCATAATGTGGCCACCAGACTTTACACGCGAGGAGGTTCGGTGTTTGAATCACCTTCTACTGATCAGTATCGCTTGCATCAGTCAAATTCTTACCGTCCATGTGACGAAGAGATTATAAGCTCAATAAAGCCTTTGATTGTTAAAGGTACAATTTTGCTGCAACCCTTTTTTGGGGGAGAGGCTAGGACAAGTTCTGAGAAGTACAATATGGTGAAGCAACCTCGGTCTGTGCTGAGCGTGGCAGCCTCTGATTCTTATTGGCGATTGGCGCTGCCACGTGGCGCTAATCGAGACCATCCATTTTGCAATCCTATGAAGAGTAGTAGTGACGGTGGTACTCTAAAGGCTGGTTGGCCTACTATGGTTTGCATTTCAGAGATGGATATATTGAAAGATAGGAACTTGGAGTTTTGTGAAGCATTGAGGAAAAGAGGAGATGGTAAGATGAAGGTGGAATATGTGGTGTATAAAGGTGTTGGGCATGCATTTCAGGTGCTGGATAAGTCTGAGCTCTCGAAAACTCGATCGCATGAGATGATAAATCATATTAAGGCCTTTGTTAATTGTAATTAATTAGTTCCCTTGTGAGCTGTGACCATATATATATGATTAGCAAACCCTAGCTTGTATAGCCATGTAAAATGCATATATTTATAATCAAAAGAATATCAGTTGTGTCTGTATAAAAGTTGAAAAATGAAAAATTAAATCAGGTATGTTTCATGATCTTTTCTTTCTTCTGGATCTTGTCCATGTCATGACGTCATTGTGTGTATGAGAGAGATGTAAACGATGAAGTAAGATTTATTTTAGGGTAACGATAGGAACGATTAATATATGGAGTGATTTTTCATTGTACTTGGAACAATAGTCACCTAACATTATTTTACTCAATTATAACACGTGAATTTGTTTAATATAGCCTGAAAATGAAATATATCTGCATCGTTCATCTTTTTTTATAACACGTGAGATGATGCATAACTTGTCCAATGTTCTAGGCCTAGAACATGGGTTCACCAACTTTCATTAGGCCTTTTAAAAATATGTTCTAGGTACTTATAAAAAATTTGTCCATCACCAAATTTGAATCCCAATGGAAAATTAGTTCATCAACTTTCATTAGGCCTTTTAGCACCCAAAAAAAAAACATGAAACTTTTCAGGAAAATGAAGAAAAAAAAACAAACTCATCATTCTATCAAACCACAACAACCGTAAAACTGATCATTCAAAATTCATAAAAAGGTACCCGTAATGTAATCACTCAACCATATGATGATTAAATCTGTTTCCTCTTTGGATGAAGCATGGACAGCATTAACAATGGCAGCCATCACCAGATTAATGTCATAGGACTTTCTCTCAATCTTCTTGATATGCATATTCTTTTAAATCCTTAATGATTATCTTGTACCAGTTGATCGAGGAAATAACAAATCACTGAGCAAAACAAGAGAGAGTTTAAGGACTATGCATCATGTGGTTGTTGTTGTTGTTGTTGTTGTGGCGGTGGTGTGAAAAAGTATTCATGAGATAGGCTTGAGATTTTTTATTTTTTTAATCGGTTTCTCTAACATTAGTGGAGCAAGAACGGAGGCAGCTAAGGCCTACTGAGGGCAGCTGGCCCTACTGAAGTTTTGTGCAGTGGATAAAAACCCACGATGCTTTTTACAGGATTTGAATTTATCGTATTTAAGTACTTTAATTGATTAGTTGAAAATTTCAAATAATATGTATAATATTAATAAGCCATCATCGTGAAAACATGTTCACTAGTTGGCTTAATGACATTTAAAAAAAATCACAAATGGCAGTACTTTTTAGTTAGAAAATTTATAAACCCTCATAATTTTTGTCATTTTTTTTGTTACAAATGAGGAGGTCGAAGGGAAAGGAACATGAAGCTAAAGGCAATTCGAACTCTGGGATTATAATATTAATTGTTGAAAAACACGTACAGTATGATTCTCATACTATTTGAGTATGAACTGTCTATTATAATTATTCTAGATCATAGAAAATATGTCTATTCAATTGGTATACATTCTTAATAACGTGAGTTTATGATGGCCATCAAAACAAATTCATTACATATATATCCTCCTCTTAGTCACAGACTCACACTTAGTATATTAATTGGAGAAGGCCAAACATATACATCTCCTGGCCCCTCGTGAAGGTTCGTGGTTGAGGTTTCTTCACGGGGCAGCAGATGGCGACCTTCGCCTATTAAACTTAGTTGTGTATTCTTGCTCAAATGAGTGCTCCAGGTGAATTTACTGTCGAGTTCTTTGCTGCAAAAACAAATGTTAATGATGAGTGGAATAATGCTAAAAACTAAAAAGGAATAAACGCAGATCATAGTGCACTGTGTCACACTATGCCCGTGCCCTAGCTAGCTCCAACCTGCATAAATTTTAATTAACTGGATATACTAGATCCATCATCAAATTCTTTAATCCTAAGATTACCAAAACTTCAATAGTTCATGTGGTAAGAGTATTATCCCAAACCAAGATATACTGGAAATGGCAATTTTACAGACCATCGTGCGTAATTAAATGTCCGTTTAATTTTAAAGAAAAAAAGTGAAAAGAAAAAATGAAATAGTTATCAAACGATTCTTAATATATATATATATATATATATATATATATATATATATATATATATATATATATATATATATATATGCAGGGGTTTATGAACTACCTGAGTTTGAGACGGCATACTTCCTTTTCTTCTGCAACTTCCAGGTCGTGAAGATCATGCATTATTATCTAACGCTACTGAGCTAGACTTGATTGTTTGAAATAATGCTAATTCTGATTAAATGTAACATCCTTCTATGGCTCTATTTATAGGCCATGTCGTATGCATAACTCACCAGACCAAACTAATAGCAATGCAGTAAAACCAAGATTTCTAATACTATTTGGTGGTTGGAGAGGCACCAGGTGCGAACCATCGGTCGTAGGTTTTCAGTGAGTGCCTCAACCCCCACGGTAAAGTCTGTCTTACCGCACCTCTCTCCTATATATTTAGAGTAGTGCTATCTGCCCAATTTACTTTTTATACACATTTTTCAATTGTGAAATGTTAGATCGAATTTATTGAAGAAAATTAATGATCAAAATTAACAATTATGTATGTGAAGTAAAAATGAGTTTAAACTTCTATATAATGTATGTGAATTTAGGTTTACCGAATTGAATTAAATATCTCAAACATTTCTGTTTTGACTAATATTTTGCAAAAATAATTTATGAAATACAACTTAAAAAATAAACAGCTCAGATCGTTAAAGTTCCATATAAAGTAAGTCTCACAACTAGTTTTTATTTAATACTAATAATAATTGGATTTACGGCTGCATCATGGGGAGAACTTGGAGCGGAGAATATGACAACACGACTCCAATCCAACATCCACCGACAAAACCTCTCGAACAGTCGAATACCATTCGTTCCACAAAACCTCTCGAACAGTCGAATACCATTCGTTCCACAAAACCTCTCGAACAGTCGAATACCATTCGTTCCACATTCTGCTGAAACCCACCAAACTAAATTTTCACGTGGGTTGGCAGCTTCATTACTCTTTGAAAGAAAATATTTTTCAGTGTGACCATTACAATAGGTGGTACATCACGTGTTGCTATATAAATTGTGGGATATGTATGTTAAAAAGTTAATAACTTAAAAAATAAAATTTCTCACCACTTACATAAAAACACATGATGTACCAACCGTGTTCCCGTCACAACTAAAAATTTCTCCTTTGAAAGATGCATCAACGTCTGCAACTTCAACCTCCTCCAATCAAACATGTATCAGTCCATTTATTCGTCTGGGTCCTGTTCATTTTGTAATTCTCGCATCAGTAGAGGAGAGAGCTTCTCCCCTCTAACTTTAGGGTATATCGAAGTTGGAGATTCTACCATACAATCGGAGATCATCAAGAGTTTCTTTCTCAATGACATCGACCGATCGATCGATGTTTGCCACATGTTTAAAAGTGAACCACTTGTCCAATAAAATCTTGACCACGTGATGAATTAGTGATAAAACAAGAAGAAATTTTTCAATATACCCGAAACATGAACAAGTACACCACATGTAATAATACAAGGAACTTAAAAAACCCCTCTCTACTTATATCATAACATATAGTGTATCTGCTTGTATTCCAGACACGTCGTGGACCGGGTCCCTTCCACAGTTTCAACCAAGATTTAACCTTATATTGAAACTCAAATCGAACATAATTTTAATTCACAAATTTAAATTGCTTATCAATCAGAAGCTCCATATTAATTAAGTGATGAATAAAGGAGATCTCTAGTGTTCTTGCAACCAACAAAATATTAAATATTAAAAAAAAATATAAGGATAATATTCACCAACAAATAAAAAGGTTCTTCAATTCTAAGACAATATTTTCCTACCGACGAAGACCCATCATAACAAAACAAGAAGCAAATATTGCAGAACAGAACACAAAATCTCAATGCTAATATTACACATTTTTTCCCATATACCACAGGATAACGTAAAATCGCGGAAAGCCGAAAACAGTCCCGCATGTTAGGCACAAATTATTAGCACAGACTTACTCTCAGACGCTCCCGGCAACGAAGGAACATATTAACTACGTACTCTGATATGCAGAAATGATGCCTTCATCTTCAACATGAGCAATGAACACCTAAAGTGAAATAATCCTGGCTACTAGCTTGACATCATGACATGATCAATTGCCTGAAGTGCCTGGTTAGCGAAAAATCGAACGTCAACATCTGGGTCCTCGCTGAGCTCAACCAAAGAGGGACGAATTGTTTTCTCCACCACCTGTTAACATCAAAGAAAATTTAAGCCCAGGGATGAAAGACTACAAAGAAAGTGAAACATTAAATAATAAATTACACTAGACTCGAGTAGGTACTTACAGACTGATCAACTATGGAGATAAGGGACTGCAGCACCTTTGCAACATTGAATTTGATGTTCGGTACTCTGAGGAAAGAACAAAGAATTTAGGCAAGTGAATGGAATAACTCCACTAGCATCATATCTTTCCTATTTGGGACACAGTACATGGTGTGTATATACCTGTCCTTTGCCGCATTGACAACCACTGGCAGCAGTTTTGAACATGTGATTTCTGAACCCATAACCGGGGCAAGGAGACAGATTGCACGCAGAATTGTCATTCGATACAAATAGTGTGGATTGTTTATCATCTCGAGGACCTGCCCAAATGACATAAATTCCTTAAAGAATAAAATAATGATGAAAACTACAAAGTCGAAAATGGGGTCCGCAACTTCAGTGATTTTTAACTAGTATATTCAAACATCCACAAGAAATCAAGAATAATGTGATGAGAAAAGTAGTTGTAGGCAATAATTCTAATTGCCAGGAGGATATAAGCCGTAAAATCAAGACAAAAGAATGACTGTTTTTTAAACATATCTGGAATCTCCCATGGCAGAAACTTGTGGCAACTGAATTAGTCAAAGCCATCAAACCAACCTGTGGAACAATATGTTGCATTGCCCATTCTGGACCAAACTCTTCTGCTAGACGCTTTAAATTGTTAGCAGCAGCATCACGAATTGAGTAGACCTGCAACAGATTCCAAGTATGATAAGCACAAATCACTAATGAGTAGACACCCCGTCTTTCTTTCTTTGTGTGTGAGAGAGAGAGAGAGAGAGAGAGAGAGAGAGAGAGAGAGAGAAAAGTTAAAACATTTCTTCCCTCCAGGCTTATCATGAAGTGACTTTTAATCAAAATTAAGGAATACACTGACCTTGTCCTGCAACCACTGCATGCAAAGGGCACCAAGCTTATCATCAAAGAACCCTACACCCAGCTGACTTGCCAATAAAGGTATGTACTCTATTATTGCAAGTCGAACCCTCCAATGTCTATCCTCCGCAAGCTCAACTATGGCTGGTAATAAGGATTGAGATAGCAAATCGATCCCAATAACCTGTAATAATGACAAGCTTCAGCCTTCGCTTGAAAAGGTCTAAGTTCTTACCATTGATCTTTTGATAGGGAAAGACTAAAGAGTCCTAAATACTAAGGTCTAAAATTTGTGTTTCTCATGCATAGAATGATAGAAAGCAGAAATGGGGGGAAATTGAGAACATAATGCAAAAGGCACCGACATTTACTTTCTCAGTTTTAAACTGACCTGATTCACTTGATCAAGCTTGCTAATGATATTAAGGCGCACATCTGGAAATTCGTCCTTCAGGAGTGAAAGAAAAATGGGAAGGAGCTGCTCAATTGTTGCATCCTGCATTAACCCTAAGAATGAGATGTATGCAAGTAATGTAATTAAATGATCACAGACAGCACATCATAAGACTGACACCATTTGCAGGATAGAAACTACAGCACAACCATCCAGCTATCTCATCTATGTCATGGGGCAATTTGCAGGCCAAATCTATGAGTCACATAACAAAAACCAAGACAAATGGTTTACATGCAAGCACAAGCATCCCACATTGGCATGCAGACTTCTGAGTCAATTTGCAATTCTTATCACAAGAAGAGTCAATTTACAACAATGTAAATTAGCAGAATTTTTACTGCAATCCTAAAACCTTCTGGGCACAAAATACGTGATCAAGTGAGCTCATTATTTATTTATTTTTTTTCCAAATTCCCAGATGTATGGAATATCCAACAGATATTCATCCACAAGCCCTCCAACCACAAATATTCATTTAATGTAGCAGTCATCTATTCCTCATATCAGCAAGTTTATTGATTTGTCAAACTATTTTTAAATTTATAGATAAATAAAACTCAATTCCCTATTCCTCCAGAATTCCATGACAAATTATGATCTTCCCTAGATAACAACAACTGCACTAACCACTATACGACATTCTCACCTTTCCTAATACAAGGGCCATGCCCATTATAACTGAAGCCAAAGCAGACCGGACGTGTTGGGAAGAATCTGATGACAGCTCCTGCAAAGGTCATTGAGAAGCATTGAATTAGCAAAACACCAGTACAAAAGAATAAGTTGAAGTTAACAAAACACCACCAAGAAAGGGAAAACTTTGCATTAAAGCATGCATACCTTCACACAAGGAAGAATATGCTGAATTGCAAGTTCTGGACTTAAAATCCGGCAAAACTTGGTAACTTTGCCAGCAGCTGCTATGCGTACTTCAGCCTCATTATCTCGAAGCAATCGCACATATGCCGGAACCAGGTCCGTCCTTAAAGTACAACCACCATAAATAAAATATTTCAAAAGATATAAAACTATAATCACACCAGTGTAAAGATGAGAGTATGGCTTAGCAAAACAAAAAATCTGCCTGACAAATTGTGCGGTCAAACAGAATTTTATTTAAAAATAACTAGTTTAGAAAAAAGAAAAAGCCAATTCCTACTATCTTCCTTTTAGCATATGACTGTAGTATGACAATAAATACCTCGTATGCTCAGGCCCCACAGCTTCACAAAGCTCATATAGTTGATTTGCAACCATGTAACGCACTCGCCAAGACTTATCCTATTCAGAAGAATAAAAAGATGTCAATGTGCAAAAAACAATTAGTGACAGTCCAAAATGTCATGTCCAACAGCTTCCATACATCCAGTCAGCCTTCATGTAAAACTAGAATGAATATGACCTTGATAACAATGCTTGTGGATAAAAGAAAGCAAATGATAGACAATACTGCACACAAATATTAAGAAACCAAATGTAGAATTCAACATTATAAATAATACGTTTACCTGAGAGAAGTTAACGATAACGGGGAGGATATGTGCAACACAATCTTGGGGCTCCAACAACTTCCCCAAAGCAGCACAGCCCTCAACGGCCAAGAGTCGAACAGAATCTTGATCTAAAATGAAACTACTCGTAAGAATTTTAACTTAAACAGAATCTTCATCTAAATGAAACTAGTAATGATAAGTTTATATCCGAAAATTTGAGAATGTGAAGACAACATTCAATTACCATCTTGAGTAAGATCCTCAAATATAGACATGACATCAGCTTTCAGATGCGCAGGTTCAACAGTTGCTGCAAATTTTCCCAGGTTTGTAGCAGCAGACCTCCTAACCATAGGCATGTCATCTTGACACAACTGACTGTAAATTGATCGTAGTTCTGTCTTCAATGTATCTGGTGCACTAGGGTAGGCAATATGAAAAAGCCCACATGCAGAGACTCGAGCTGTAAACCATTCACCAGCTGCCAACCTCTGAGGAGAAATAGAATATAATGAGTACTCAAACAAAAGATTTGCTGAGAGTAAAAGGACGGAAGACTCGAGCACATTGTAACACATAGACATCTGCATGACCGTGATGAACTGATGTTGTGATATAAATGCCAGTGCTGATACTTTTAAATTATAAATGTAAAATTCCTTCACAGAACATGCAAAATCAAATGACCCAAATCTATTCGACACCTTTCATATGTCATCCTTTAACTATATAGCAAATATATTTGGTAAAAGATCCATATAAGTGCGAAAGACTGATAATTTAATTATTTAGAAGTATCAACATGGCAGAGATGTAAAGATACACAAGGACTGCCCAGCGATAATTTGAATGCTAGCTCGGCGGTGAGGCAAATGGAAATAAAGCTTAGGAATAGAATAAAGTCATCATTCAGTCCCATCCCATCCTAAAACAAAATAAGTATTAAAAATTTTGAACACAGAAGAAAATGAGTTATCTAACCTTCACAAGAGGAATAAACCAGTTAACCAAATCACCCTCCCTCATCTGAGATCCAATCCTACATAAGGACTCCACAGCCTTGTCCCTCACACAGGTTTCCTCAACAGTGCAAAGGGTCTCCAGGGGCGGGAGCAACACATGTGCATGCTCCACACCCCCAACATATGGAATGAAGACCCCCAACTCCTCCGCCATTGCAAGAAGCACCTCATCGTCATCGTCATTGTTTTCGCTCAGAAAAGGGATTAACTCCTTACGGGTTCGCTCTTCCCCAAGCGCACGTGCAATTGTAGATAGCCTGCGGATTGAGTTCAACCGCAGCTGGATATCGTCATTTTTAAGCTCGTCTATGAGAACGGCTATTGGGTATAGCGGTTCCTCAACCACAGACATTGTAATTCAAGCCTTTTCCAGAACCTTCAAACACCAAAACAAGTTATCATAAGTAAATTTGCAGAAATAATAACCATTAAGCCCATTATATTTTCATTTCGGTTAATAATTATAACTTCGATTCCAACGATTTACGAGCTACTAATGGAGCGCAATTAGGAAAAGAGTCAGATCAGCACTGTGAGATCTAAATCAAACCCTAGAATTCAAATCAATAATTCGAAAAATGTTCAAAAGAAAATGAGGATAACAACGATGAAATCTTGGATTCTGAAACCAGTAATTCATTGGTTCAGCTGAATTACTCTAAATTCCAGGAAATGAAAACAAAAAATTGGAATTTAGAATTTGATTTCTCCTTTTTCTCACTTAGTTTTCTCAGCAATCAAACAGATGCCAAAAAGCAAGTTAGAGAAATTAATGAAGCAAAAAATTTCAGAAAATTTTGAATTTACAAAGCCGAAATCGATGAAACTTAGATGCGGCAACGGTCTTACCGATCTCAGTGCCCTTCCCGCCGGCTGCCTCTGATTCGACAATCTGTTGGAGCGGAGAGGCGGAGAGAGAGAGAGAGAGAGACAGAGAGAGAGAGAGGAGACGACCACGAGAGTATCCTTATTATGGTTCTTTTTTGTTTCCTAGGCCCATCTTTACAGAAAGCATTAGTGGGCCATAAAGTAGAAGAACGTACACTAGCCCATCTTTATTGGGCTTCACATGCCTTGGCCCAATCATGTGCAATCATCTTTAGTGGAAATTTTCCATAGCACATCTTTCTTTATGAGTGGACGATTGAGATTTAGTTTAACACGTCAAAAAACGTGCAGATAGGCAAAGCTCTCACGCTTAGTGCCTGTTTGAGACCCGTTTGATAAGAAGTGCTTTTGCTAGAAGCAATTTTGTTAAAAATGAATCACAAGTTGATGAGAGCATGAATTTTGCATGAGCTTATAAAAGTAAAATGCTAACTCTCTACATTGCCAATTAGTTTTAGGGGTTTTTTTAACTTTAATCCTTCAAGAAGATTTAAATTTAAAATAAACCTGGTGTTATATTACATATTAATTATAATCCCTTGATGTGTCCTTAATTCAAAATAATTAATGTGCATTTTATTTAATGTCTCCCATTGAATATTTAAATTTATTAACGTACAAATTTTAATTTATTTTTTTTTACCAAAAAAGAGTTTTTTAATTTTTTTAATTTTATTTAACATTATTCAAACTTGAAAGACTCAATTAATGTACTTAAATGTTCGTACCGAAAGGTACGTACCGAAATGTATTATATTGAACTAATGTATTTAAATGTTAATACTGAAATGTATGTACCAAAATATATACACCGAAATGTATTATATTAAATTAATGTACCTAAATGTGTGTATTGAATTATACGCACTGAAATGTATTATATTGAATTAATGTACCTAAATGTTTGTATCGAAACGTATGTACCGAAATATGTGTACCTATGTGTACCTAAATGTATGCATCGAAATGTATTATAATGAATTTAATATACCTAAAAGAAGAAGACAAAGTACATCGAAAATATATTGTATGACAAAAATTAGTTTATCTAAATGTTTACAATAAAATATATTACGATAAATGAAACAAATACATCAAGGGACTAAAACTAGATTTTGATCTTAGTCATGTTTTTAATCTAGAAGTCATATTTTTCAAGGATTAAAATGAATTTCTATTAGTTTTATAGTTGACCTCAGCTTCCTTAAATAGACAAGGGGCGTAACAACAAAAATATTCATCGGTAACGGTACGTAATAAAGCTTCGAAAAATCGAGAAAATGTAACAGAGGGAACAAGAGAATGAAGCTTATTGTCTAGTTTTCAGTATACCTTCAAGCCGAAGGAAAAAAAGCCTTCATACATAACACATGAACTGGTAACAATTTATAACAAATGAGATCCAACCTTGGCCAAATCCTTGGATCAAAATCAAAATTATGTACCAACCTTAAAAAACCACTCTTTAGTTCTTCAACCGCAAACTCCTAAATAGTTTGGTCCAGAACCCGACAACCTCCTCCTTGGGTTCAACAGGATCCTTAAAATTTGCCTTCTCACTCAGCTCTTCGAATTCATCCACCAGATTTTGAAGCCGAGCCACAAACTCAATCAGAAGCGATGCAAATGTTGCCAAAGATAAGGAGCTGGCGCTTTCGTAAACTTTTGATTCTTCAGGTTCCTGCTGCACAGCGTGCGCGTTGAATGAGAGGCGTGGCCATGATATTGGTCGTTTTAAAAGACTTTCTGTAGATATCCATTGTTGATTGGAAGGATCAGCAGTCGTGCTTGGATTCTGAGAATCCCAATATTCACTGAGAGAATCGATCACCACCTGTTTATTTTCGTTGTCTTTATCGACAAAATGCCCATGATCTTCGTATTCCTTGGGACGTACTGCAGGTCCCCAGCTCTCTGAATTGACAAGAAGGTAAGAATATTTGTCTATTTTCATCTGCAACTCTTCTGCTGCTTCATGCACATCGAAAAGTACGTCTTTGGGACTTAACTTTTCCATCTTTTCTACTTTGCTTCCTAGCTCACGTAATATTTTAGCACATTCCACACCAACTCTCTGGAGCTCCATGGCAAAAACCTGTCTCTTTTCGGCTGGTGCCTACAGAAACACATTCACAAAACCTGATGATGAAACTGAAAATTAAATTAATAATAAATCAATTGGGAAACTAAAAACAAAGGATTAAGAAGAAATCTGTGTTCTTAATCAACTATAGGGTTTGACATGTTGCATGGTTCGGCAAAATTTCTTATCTTCGACAGCAGGGAAATGGGATGCAAGGGTATTCTTCTATGCAAAGCCAAAACAAAAACCTTCAAATCCCTTCTTCAAATTATTTTCAGGTTACAGTGGAAATTTCTCTTCAGCACTTCGCAGGCAGTGGATGCTCGATATCTTGGAGATCGAACATAAGTCTAAATTAATAGTACAAAAATTATTGCCTTAAACAAAATGTTTTTCAAGTAAAACCAAACTACAGGGTGGATTTAAGGTATAATACTCATAGGCTCATTTTATCTTCAAACAAACAGCATGAACTGCAAGATTCATCTCCTATAAATGAGATTACGAATTTAATGCTGCTATCTACAGTTCCTTTTGGGATGTGATATCCCCACACCCTTTTTACTTCTCTCACATCCTTCTAATTTTCGGCCGTTGGATCGGATGAATTGAAGAAGATCAAATGACAGAAATTAACAAGGGGTGTGAGAAAAGTAAAAAGGGGTGTGTCACTGTGGATAGTACACCCCTTCCTTTTTCTTCTGCTATGTACATTCTGCAAAATCACAGAGGAGGAAAAATAAATATTTACCTGGATTTCTGAAAGTATGCATCCGTGCATCGCCATGACCATGAATGCACAATGCCTCAGTGAACCGGCAACTTTGACATAGTGTACCCAGGGATAATTGAATGACTTATATGGGCCATGGGGTGGCTCCCATACAGCAAAGCCTAACTGCAAAAATAATATCAATTCGATTTGGCTGAATTAGAAGTTCCTGCATTTCTCAGTTCAAATTCAGAGGACTAGAAGTGGAATTGTTATATCAACACACCAGAGTTTCCTCTTCGCTTGAAGATTGTACAGCTGATCTATAGCCACTATACAACGGGTCATCAGAAGCTTGGTAAGTGAGAATTTTGGAAGGAATTCTCTCGTATTCAACACATTGCAGATACTGATTAACAACACCTATAACAGAACAAAAGATCAACCATCAAAATCAATCCTGAAATTCAGCGTGAACTAAGATTATGTTGTAAACGAACCAACCTTCCAAAGAAGCAGCAACACCCCTGAAATTTTTCACCACCAGCTTATGGAGATCTTCCCCTGACCAGATAGGGTATATAAATATATTTACAATCAAACTAGTGGCGGCACCGACAGCAATAAGCAGCAATCGATAAATTGCTGTCTGAAAGAATAATGATGTTCCAGACACCATGACGATACAATATGTCAACAAGAATACCCGAAATCCGTATTCATATGGCTTCATTGACGGATAAAGCTTGGCGTAACTAGCACAAAATCCTAATTACCATAAAACCCAACATTCAAAATTCAGGAGATAAATGATGTATCATAAACAAAGTATCAAACTTTCTCAACTGATACAGATTAATGATCAAATTATCAAGGTTTTTAAACTAGATTACCTGCTATAAACACACTAATTACAATTATAACTTCCTGCAGATCTCCGGCCAATACGGATAACTCTGCAATCCCAAGAGAAAGCCCGCCCGCTGATAACGTCCCCAAAGCACGATTAAAACCCTTGTTCAAGGTTGCACCTTTAGCATCAAAACGACATTAAACTCCACATTAGTCACACAAACTAGAACAGAACTCCACCAAAACGCAAAAATTAAAAAAGGGGTGATCTTTGAAGTAATACCTACGCTGAATTCAAAGACGACGACGACAGTGAGAATTGCCCAGATAGAATACTGGCTGACATCTTTGAGCGGCACTTTGAAAAATATTAGCAGCGACACGAGCGCCAACGTCAACCCCATCTTGATAGCAAAGATGGCTTTTCGAGGATCCGAATGACCCATTTGATATAACTTGATGAAAGTGCCCTGGAAATTGTTGCAGAAGTTGTTGAACCCATCGGAGATTCTTCGGAAGCAGCCGCATTTGACGTTCTCGTCGCCGGCCTCGGAGCTGTTGAAGCCCAAGTCGGAGTACCCTTTTCGCGACAGCAGCCGTTCCTTGCTTCTCTCGGCGAAGCTGTGGCGGAAGGACCCGATTTTGGCCGCCATTTTTCGTCGGAGAAGAAGGATTTGAAAAGTCGAGAAAAAAAAGCTCAGAATTTTAGATAAGGAAGAAGAAATGGCGAGCGGAACAGCGTACAAGAGACATTAGGCAAAACCGTGACAGGGGATGTAAATGTAATGATCACTATGCATATAAAGTAAAGGCATAGGGATTTATACAGGATACGGCGTCGTTTGCTGGTTTGTACAGTTGAAAAGTTTGAGCTTGGAAGGTGGTTGAGTTGAATGGACGGTGGCATGACTTGCAGAGAGACGTGGAGAAACAAGAAAACCATGGAAAACGGATAAAACTGTGGACTGGTAGAGGAGACGAGGTTTTTTATTATTATTTTTATTCAGCTCATTCAACCCAAAAAAAAAAAAAGGGTTAAAGACCACTTTGTCCCTTAATTTGTTCTGAATAATATTTCTTTTTAAATAAATCATATTTAAACTTGCAATTTACGCGAATCATAAGACTTTCATCACTAGATTATAATACGTTTGAATAAATAAAAATTTTATGATCTTAATTTTTATTGTTTTTTACTATAGATAGAAGAAAAATATATCAGACATAAATCATATATTTAAACTAGTAATTTATGCGAATCAAATCTAAGATTTTCATCACTAAATTATGTATGTTTGAATAAATAAAAATTTTATGATCTTAATTTTTATATTTTTTTACTATAAATAGAAGTAAAATATACAAGACAAAGAATGAAAGTGGAAAAAATGAGATGGACTATATGAATAACAAAATCACCAAAGTGAATTGTTATTGGATTTTTGTTTTTAGTTTTTTATTCCGAGTCT